CTGGGTGGAAAAACGCCATCGACCGGAGTTGTATCAATGAGAGATATTGGTTGAGGTGCATCAGGATATTTTCTGTGAAATTCCTTGATGAGACGTGGAGATCTCTTCAAATTTGCTGCGGGTTCTCAAGTTTCTTTGGCTTTAGAATAACCCTTCCAATGCACCAAATATTGAAGTTTGCCATGAATGACACGAGAGTCGACTATGTATTCGACTTTTCATTCTTCGCCAGTCTTCTTCTTGATAGGAGGACGGGGTCTGAGAGTGCGGTCTGGTATTTCATCTTTGTGGTAGAGCGTGAGCTTGGATGCATGAAAAACTGGATGAACGCCGTATTGTCACGGCATTTTGAGTCTATATGTGACTGGTCCTAGTTTTTCTATGATTTCGAAGGGTCCATCTCTCCGTTGTGCCAATTTGGCTCCCGATGTCTGCCAATCTCTAGTGGAGAGTAATACTTGATCTCCAACTTTGAAAGGTGTGGGTCGTACGGATTGATCGTAGTACCACTTCATGTGCTCAGCTGCCAATAGAATGGCTGCTTTTGCTTGCTCTTGTGCTTCTACTCGTGCCTGCATTATGGAATCTAGCGTATTATGCTTTATAGGGTCCATTATTGTTGGTTCTGCACGTGGATGTCTACCGTATTCGACAAAGAATGGTGAATTCTTAGTGGCTTCAGAAGCCTGATTGTTATAGGCGAATTCGGCAGTTAGAAGTAAAGTACTCCAGTCTTCCACACGTTTATCCGTATAAATACGAAGATATTGCTCTAGCGACTGATTTGTTCTTTCAGTTTGACCATCGGTCTCCGGATGATATGCGGATGACATTGTTGATTGTATTCCGAGGAGTTTGCATACTTCTTGGAATAATGCGCTTGCAAACTGAGTACCTCTATCTGAGATAATCTGTCTCGGAAGACCATGCTGTGTCCATACCCTCTCATAGAAAGTACGGGCAAGGTCTGATGCTGAGAACTCATTGGTGATTGCAAAGAAATGCGCTCGTTTGGTCAAACGATCGACAACTACCATAATTGCGTTGAATCCATGGGATTCTGGTAATTGAGTGATTAAGTCGACAGAAACAATTTCCCAAGGTTCTGTTGGAACCTCATTTGGCTGTAATTCTCCGTATTTTGGCTGATTGATGTTCTTGTTGCATTGACAAAGGTCGCAAGAACCAACATACTTTTTGACGTAAGTGGACATTCCTGGCCACCAGTAATTATGAGATAACATCTCATATGTCTTTCATCTTCCAGGATGACCTGCACTGGTGGCTTCATGATGACGCTGGACAATTTCTCATCTAAGTGATTCCTTATTATCTGCTTTCGGCACATAGATTTTGCCTCGGTATAATAATATCCCACTTTCGAAGTTCCAGTCTTCGAGTCCTTTCGAGAACTCTCGTTGTCCTTTCTTGAGTAGTTCTTGGTATGAGTTGTTCACATTGTCGTCTTGTAGTGCCTCCTTGATCTTGTCCACCAAATCATGATCTGTGACGACTGCAAGATGGGTATGTTGAATAGCTTTAATCGCGAAATATTCCGTTTTGAGCAGAGTCTTGTCGGAATTATCGAGATTTACCCCCTCTTCATGATCTGGCCTCCTGGACAGAGGATCCGCGTGATGCATTGATTTCCCTGGTTTGTGATGTAGTTGGATGTTGAACTGTGTAAGATATAACGACCATCGAGCTTGCCGTCTCATCAGCTTTTGTGCTGATTTGAAATAGGTTAAGTTCTGGTGATCGGACCATATTTCTACTGGGAGTGGATGACCTTCGAGATGTTGTCAGTATTCTTCCAACGCTCGAATAATTGCAAGCATCTCTTTGTCATAGATTTCATAGTTCTGCTCAGCCTCATTGAGGCTTTTCAAATAAAATGTGATTGGATGCCACAACCCACCGTCTTTGAGTTGTTCGAGGCATGCGCCAGTGGCAAAATTGCTGGAATCTGTTTCTAACTGGAATGGATGAGTATCATCCGGTAATGCCAGAATTGGAGCTGAAGTAAAGGCATGTTTGAGAGCGTTAAATGCCTGTTGTTGTTCTTCGCCCCATACCCATTTCTGATCCTTTCGTGTAAGGATATTGAGTGGTCGAGACTTTTTGGCAAATCCTTCAATGAATCGATGATAGAAATTAGCGAACCCAAGGAAAGCTTGTACTTGCTTAACCTTCTTGGGTTCAGGCCAGTCGAGTACACCTGCGACCTTTTGAGGATCCATACAGACCTCGCCTTGAGCGATAATCATCTCTAAGTACTCAATCGAGGGTTGTTCGAAAAAGCACTTTTTTGGTTTGGCAAAAAGGTCGTTGTCCCGTAATCTTTTAATTACCTCTTTGGTAATCTTCCGATGTTGTTTCAAATCGTTAGTGAAGATTAGGATATCATCGAGGAAAACGATCACATGACCTTCCCGAATAAGATCATCTAAAATCTCATTCATCATGTGTTGGAAGGTGGCTGGTGCGTTACAGAAACTGAAAAACATAACTTTGGCCTCGTATAAACTGCGGTGCGTCACAAAAGCTGTTTTCCATTCGTCACCCTTGCGGATGCGAACATTGTTGTATCCCCATCTGAGATCCAGCTTGGTGAATATTGATGCATTACTGAGCTGATCGATAAGCTCGCTTATTCGTGGAATAGGGAAGCGATTCTTCTTGGTTATGGCATTAAGTTTTTGGTAGTCTTGTACCAGTCTTAGCGTGCCATCTTTCTTTTTTACAAAGAATACCGGGGCAGCAATAGGTGATTTCGATTTTCGAATGTAGCCTTTTGCTAGATTTTCGTCGATCCACGAATCTAGAGAATTTCTTTCCTCCGGATTCATAGGATAGAGTTTGCTTGATCGTGGTAATTCATGTTCTTCTTCAAACTTGATTGCGTGATCGTAAGGCTTTCGAGTTGGCATCCTTTCTGATGCTTTCTTGGAGAAGACATCACCAAATGAATGTAGATAATCTGGTACTAGTTTTTCCCAAGATTCTACTTCATTAATAACCTGATCTTCTGGGCTGCCAGTGTTTGACTGGGGTGCCGCTTCTTTCAGGTCTTCTTCTGATTCAGCATAGCCACAATCTGCTATAGAAAGTATTATGCGGGCTATTTGTTCGTCGTCCATCTCGACCCACGAGATGATAGGATTCACTGCATCGATGTTGTGTCCATTAAACATTCGGAATGCAGTTGGCTCCTCATCTGCCACTTGTTGTGCTTGTTGCGAGATTTCTTCAGCTTCCTCTCTCGCAATGGCTTGTTGTTTTTTACGAAGCCTCTGGTGGTGACACGTACACGGACATCGTGAATATTTCCATTCTCCAGCTTGCCAGTTGATTTCTGGATTATGCTGACATAAGTATGACATCCAAATGATCATGTCTAATTTCCCGATGTCTGTGACTAGCAGACGGTGGATAGAACCATGATCTCTGACTTTGATGTATGCTTTTACATAGTCAGTTATTTCACCATGTTTATTTTGGGATCTGTCAGCATTGTATACCTTGTATGTTGTATTAAGCTTGGAGGTTGTGATTCGATTGTTCTTTACGAATCATTTGCTGATGTACATGGAATATGCTCCTGAGTCGACTAGAGCTTCGGCGCTCGATTTTTTGCCGTACACCCATAATGTAACTGGTAAATAGAATGATGATAAATTTGGAGACGAATTCTTTATTGTTACATTATCATCCTCTGCGTTGCGACGATCTACAGAGGTGTCTGATTCGGGTGCTAAATGTACAGGTCTTATATAATGTTCTGGGGATTCTGACGAGCTGCCTACAGATCCCCTTTGAGAAAACCCTTCCGATTCTTCCTTGAAGAGCCTCTCCCGCCTTCCTTGATGAACTGGATCCATTCACCCTCAGGCGCCTGAGCCTTGAGAGGATCGCGGCGAAATCTTCGTCTGACTCGGATGCATCAGGCTCACTTTCTGAGTGGATGCTGCGGTCGCTGATATGCGCAGCTGTCTCCTTACCCTTCTCCTTAGTCTTAGAGGAAGAGCTCTTCTTCTTCGGCTTCTTTTCTTCTTCAGTATCAGAGCTTTCGCTCTCTGCATCTGATGAAGTGGAATCAGATACTACCTGTCGCGTCTTGGATGACTTGGATTTGTTCCTGGTGTCGTCCTTTTTCTTCCCGTCCTTCTTCTTCACAGCTGTCTCCTTCTCCTTCTCAATCTGCTTCTTGACATGGTCTAATTTGAAACAATCAGTACAATACTTGCCGAAGCATTTCGACGATTTGAAGAACGTCGGCTTGTTCTTCTTGCAGTTGGCGCATACCAACTTGTCATCTTGTATGCTCCGAGCTTTGCCCGATTTACTCTTTCCCTTCTTCCCAACTGTGTCAACCTCCATAGCATTCGGGTCCTTGGTTTTGGCCTTGGCATGGTGGCCTTCTCGCTGTAGTGACGTAAATATCCGGAGTGCGAAAGTAAGGAACTCGGTCCACTTCTTGGGCCAGTTGTCCTTGGTCGTGTCTGCCAACATGAGCAGCCACGTTTTCTCCGGAATATGTTTCTTGATCTTTTCGATCAAGTCCTGATCCGAGAAGCCTGTACTGGTTGCCTTTGGACGGAAGTCTTCTGTGAACTTTTGGAAGTCTCGATGATCCTTCTTGATGAAGGCCTCTAACTCCGTTTGCTTCTTGTCATCCTTGTCCAATGATTCATATGCTGTGCGAAGTTCAGCAACGAACTTCGCCCAAGTTCCTGATGCCTTATTATTTTCGTTTATTTCGGTAATCCAATGTCGCATATATTCACGTGCTCCTCCTTTCAGGAGCAAGAGGGTAGACATAATTTTGGACTCGTCTTTGGTATGACCAGTATATTTCAACCAGAGCATTACTTGTTCGAGCCAATCATCGAGATTGACTCTGTCCTTATTGCCGCCATACTTTTCTGGCTGGTCAATTTTTACGCCTTTACCCTTGCGACCAAACGACGGCTCATCGTCGTTGTCTGTGTCATCGACATTGTTACCGCCTTGTCCTGCTTTCCGTCCCTGTGTAGATGCCCATGCGCGAAGTCGATCATGTGATTTCTTTAGGCCTTCTCCTCTTGTTTGGAGATCCTTGATTTCATCGTCAATTGCCACAAATGCTTCGTTAGTGGTCTTGTTTTCCTCAAGTAAAGCTGACGAGGTTTTCTCCAAGTCTGCGATTCGAGACTCAGATTGTTGACGATGTTGGTCTAAGAAGACCGTCCGATTGTGAAACTCCGTGGTGTTATGTTCCATTGTATGTGCTTGGCGCTGGATAAGATTTTCGTAATGCACCACCGTTTGTTGACACATCTCTTCCACCACATTTGTGATGAGATCGACTACCCAATTTTTTACATTTTCGGGTATATTCGCATTTGGGGGCACCGTGTCGGCGAGGGCTTGACGAAGGATTGGATTCGGGGGTTGCAATACAATATTGAGTCATGTGGGAAGCTCCGGAGATGGAGCCGAGAGAAGCTTGGATCATTTAGAGTGAGAGTCGTCATCTTACAATTCTTCCTCTATCTCACGAAGATGTTCTTCGAACTCGACTATATGGCTATTGGCGATCATAGCCTGTCGGGCAATTACTCATCCTGAGCGTTGGTTTTGCAGCAAACAAAGGTCTCGATGGATGACCTTGATGAAGGGTTGCCACAAAAACCTGGTTTTGTCCCTGACTGCAGGCCACTGGTGGTTATGATGAATTTCGCAAATACGCTCGACTTCTTCGAGCCAATCGACGAAGCTATTGTAAGCTTCGGTGAGACAGTCTTCAGGTTCTTTGGATCCAATAGGGATATAGCAGATATGAACCACGACGTTCCTCCAATCAAATTCTGGATAGATTTGGAGGGCGTAGATGTGATATACGTCGTGGTAATCGATGTCGAACATGTCCTTGTACATAGCAAATGCTTTGCCTGCTCTGTCTCGAAGAGCACATGGAATTGAATCCCAAAGATAATTGAAGGTGTGACTGATTGGATTTAACTGCTCGAAGTTATCAAGATTGTTCGAATCGCCAGATGAAGACATATACAAAATGAATATTCGTATCTACAGCAAAGGTCGCCCTGTGACCTGTATTTCTAGATGATATTTCTGGATAATATCTCTGATTATCCAGCAAGCCTCTCCACCCTGATGCTTCCTCTCCTGGACGTAGTTGCAGAAGTCGTGAACCACATGTTGGTGAACGAAGGGAAGCTTGAATTCCGTGATGTCAGTGTGGATGGATTCGAGCTTGAGTATGAGATGCTCGAGATCGAGGATGTCGTGGTCATCAAGCTGACGATGGTATCGTTTGGTGAGTAGAATACGAATCTGTCGAAGAGTGCCTTTGACGCGCTGAGTCGAGATGATGGAGACAGCGAGAGGATAGATGAAATGAGACCCAGTAGCGGTCTCGACATATGTCCCTTGATTGAGATCTGGACCAGATGGTCCTGCAAGTAGTCTCGGTCACCTGACCAAGGGAGTCTGGATAATAGAAACTGAACTAGTGCTGCGAGGGGGCCGACCTCCCGTAGAGATGTGTCCTGGCCTTGGCAGGGGTCTTATGGGCTGCTGCTCATAGAACTCTTCTGGAGTTCTCGCTCGAGGATGACGGATGACACCATCGATGCTGCGCAATGCCTTGGTGCAGCTTACACTGGTAGAGTCTGTGACTGACAGAACGTCAGGTGAAGATATGACACCGCTAACGTGCGGGTGGACATGCAAAGACGCAACACTGTGGCGAGTACGCTGGGCAGGCACTCAAGGCAGGTAAGATAAGCAGACTTATTCTTCTATCACAAACTTAGGACGCAGAGCGCCGACTAAGCCTATGACCTTATGATCAAACACTTACTGACTGTTGATGACGTAAGGATGGACACAAAGATGATCAAGGTAAAGCAGCACCTTGCAAGTGGGCACTGATGACACTATATGAATAGGCGTAGCAGAGATGAGAATAAGTTTGGGGGACTTATGCATCTCAGAGCTCTGGCTTATATACATGAGCGGAGGGACCCTTGGTACCCTGATACCCCAGAATTGCTAGCTAATGGACATTGTCTGATTGATTACCACTACCTGTCAGACTACGTGTGTCATGCATGCCGAACCTCCGAACTACTTAGTAAGACCATGGGAATGGTATTGCCTGTAATGGCTACATCTCCGGTGGCGTGGTATCTATCTACCTCATGCATGTGAACTAATATCCCCTTAAGGACACATCTCCGGTGACGTGTATCCTCTTCGTTGGATTCTTCCGGAGTTCGACCGTTGCTTCTAGGGGAGATGATATTACTGTATAAGTTAGGCTTACCTAATACCAGCGCTACTTGTCACATGTGTGGATATCATGTGATATATCACGTGACTAGACCTGGACCTTCAGGGCATCTAGGACTGTTAGTACTTCGTGTACCGGTTCGTTCCTTTCTGAACAACCTAGCGCTGATGTCAAATGATGTCTTGATCACGTGCAGAGGTGAAAATGTGAAAATATGTGACACAAAGCCAGCTATTTGGGAGCTCATGAAACAATCATCACACATTGAGCATGCATACGAAGAGCTGATTTGCTGCAACACTGAGACACGCCACCTGTATACTTCGATACTGGATGAAGAAGAAACCTTCACATGTGCACATGCACATGCATGTCAGCATAATTTATGTTGTATTTCACACTAGATGAGTTCTGCAAAAGGTGAAGAAATGTGAATAACTGCCATCTTGCCCGATTGCAGAAACTAGCCAACCTCGATGGCTTTACAGGTGACTTATCTCCTGGCAAACACAAGGGCAGTACTGTGTCTGTTTTCTGACTACTGGTGGTTATCTCTAGCAGTGCTGTTCAGCAGGAGCAAGATGATGATGAAGGACTTCAGGCACTCGATGAAGAGATTGAAGGGGACATTGGTGAACTTGTTGATTATATTGCCAATCTCTAGTTACTTTACATTCTGTATCTCACACATTACTCTGCAATCAATATGGCTCATTCCATTAAAAACTTCTGTGATTTGAAGACAGAAAGTGTATGAGTGGTGTCGTGCACTCTCATGACAATATAAAGTCAACGCATCAGTACTGCATTCTCGAGAGCTGCGGAAGTTCAGATGCTGTCATATACAATAGTCCAGCATATTTCAGTATTGACATGATTTCTTGTGCAGGCACTGCAGAATGTAAGTGTGAGGTGTTTGAAAGTTGCAAAACTGCATGCTGCAGCCACAGACGAGCTGCAACTACAACCTTGCACGTCTCATGACTTGCATGCCATGCACATAGCCACACACTCTTCACCTCCTGCTCAATCATTCCTACTCTCAAGCTACCTCTCATCTCATCTCGATGACTAAGTGTTATATCATGCTTGGGGGCCAGGAGCGATGAGTTCAAATAGATCAGTTGAGATCTAAAGAACCACTCACCAGCTCATTCGTGCTGATCATTTCATGGTAGGCCACCAGTTCCCTTAGGTGCCTATAAGAATCCACTACCAGTCATTGTCCATGATGTGAACATGAAAGAGGCATATGAAGTTTTTGACTTGCAGCCAATCTTCTGCAACGCAGCCAGTACTCTCGATGTACCCACCGATGAGGTGATTGATCAAATTGCAGAGAAGTTACGCACCTCTCACACAGTGAAGATGATCCTAGGTGATCACAAGGTGAAGTATGTGGTTTGGTCCAGAACAAAAATGGAAATATTCTTGAGCTGGTGAGTTGTTCGTCCAAATTTAACAGGTTAATGGTGCTCACATTTTTCAGGGCTGACTGCAAGCCCAATGCTCAGAGTTTTTCAAACACAGATTATTGAAAGGTGAAGATGCTTGATGAAGCCATCACTTTATAGGTATATGTATAAAGGGATCGCGCCTGACACACTGCCTCATCATATGGGTACCGTGGAGGAATCTGTGCTGCGATCGTGCATTTTGAGCAGTGAGTTAGCATTCAGATTCACTTGCAAGCTTCACTGAAGCTCAGATACCTCATTAAATGACATACAAGACCACATGGGGCCATTAGCATCTGTGAGAGCTGATGAAAGTAGCATGTTCAGGTCCTTCCAAGGTGTGTGTCCAGCTCATGGACTGATCATTCACAGGTCTTACGATGTAAGCACAGACCACTCACATTCACATAGGAAGACATGAGACTACTGAAGAGGCAATCCAGCATACTGATTCTGCTGACATCATGCACACTCACACAGTCTGAGAGGTGGCTTCTATATCAACCTCCATGCAGCAGACAACAGAAGTGCACATCTCCGTGCCTGCCAGACAACGCTCACCTGCACCTGCCTTGCTCAGTGCATGATCCTCACTCAGCATCAGTTCATCATCTCAACAAACACTGACAGATCAAATTCCTGCTGCAGGATGCAAGCATATCACGAGGGGTAGAGGAGTCCCTTCTGCAGGACCAATGGCAGATAGGTATCTCCGTTCTCATGGGTACTCTCTCTTGGCATGTGACTGCATCATAAGGGCATTCAAAAATGCTGAAGATGTCCTCGAGTTCATGCAGTTGCTCTCGTTCGAAGATTTGCTACCAAGCAGGGAGGTACCAGAGTCTGAGTTGGAGTATCTTCACTCCATCATTGAGCTGGAGCCTCCTTATAGATATCATTGAATGCACATATTAATTGCCATAAAACTACTCAAAATGTGAAGTTTCTCTATGGCTAAAGGTGTAAATGTAAGTCACATGCAATAAACTCTGATGTTCCATCAAAATTGTCAATGTGAAAAATCTTCACAGTGCTTCTGCCCGAGTGCTGCTCCTGGATCATTGCACGCTTTGTATGGCTCAGACTGCAACTGAAAGGCTGCTTCAATGCCTCTTGAATGCCAGGTGCAAGAGCATGGCAAGGGCTATCAAGATGCACTGAGTGAAACAATCAATAATTTGAGGTGAAAGATGATAAAGGTATTGAAGAAAAAGTTCAAATCTTTTTAGCATCTTTACTGTCAATTTGTGATAAAAGGATTTAAAATAATATTAACATCTTTTCTTGTTAAAGATGATGAAAAGATTGGAAAAAGATTGGATGACATATTAGCAATCATTGTTTTCATCATTTTACAATTTTTAGACAAAGTTATGATAAAAAGTTTCAAAATCTTTTTTTCATTCTTTTGTCATTAAAGATAATGCACATATTGTGACCATGTCACATCATTATCATTCTACACTAAGCTAATATTAGAATATAAAGGTAAATACTTAGATTCAAATGTTAGTACTATCTCTTGAAGCCTTAGTACTAGCATAGTATTGATCTCTACATCTTAGCACTAGCATAGTACCAGCATATGCTAGTAGTACTAACCTTCAGACTGTAGTACTAGCATAGTACTAGCATAGTACTAGTGTAGCACTAGCATTCAGACCTTAGTACTAGCATAGTGCTAGCCTTTAAACCTTAGTACTAGCATTTAGACCTTAGTACTAGCGTGGTACTAGCATTTAGACCTTAGTACTAGCATAGTGCTAGCATAGTACTAGCATTCAGATCTTAGTACTAACTTAGTACTAGCATAGTACTAACATTCAAACTTGAGGACTAGGTTAGTGCTAGCATAGCACTAACCTTCAAACTGTAGTACTAAACTGCAGAGCTTAGTACTAGCTTAGTACTAGCATAATACTGACCTTCAGATCTTAATATTAGCATAGTACTAGCATAGTACTAACCTTCAGACCTTAATACTAGTATAGTGCTAACATATAAACCTGAGTATTAACCTCCATATCTTAGTACTAGCTTAGTATATGAAAACAAGGGTGTGACATGGTCACAATATTTTCATCATCAAAAAGAAGTAAAAAAAAGATTTTGAACTTTTCATCATAGTTTTGTATGAAAGATTGTCAAATGATTAAAGAAATGATTATTAATATTTTATCCAATCTTCTTTCAATCTTTTCATCATCTTTCACAATAAAAGATGTTAAAATTATTTTAAATACTTTTATCACAAATTGACAGTGAAGATGCTCAAAAGATTTGAACTTTTTCTTCAATGATTTTATTATCGTTTACCTCAACTTATTGATTACTTCACCCAGTGGGACACCTTGGTGGCACAGATGCAAACGGAAGATGGTATACAAGCTGACTTCCATCGAGAAGGCCCTCATGGTCAAGAAATGATGAGAACGCAAGGAGACGCTGAACAAGGTGCTGAATCAGACACGCGAGGAGATCTGAAAGCAGGCTATCATGCTGAGGGAGTGCTTTCAAGACCACTCTCATGAATACTACTATCACCTGGTCATGCAGTGCCCTCACAAGTTACCCAATCATTGCAAGGTCAACATGTGGAATGCATTTCAGCATCGAGAACGCCACCATCTGAATAACAGTGAGTCCTATCATCATTGTCACTCATTCTGCGTGATTGACCCAATGTCGCTATGAATGATTAGACCTCCTACCAGATGTGCCCAAGTACAAATCATCAGACATTATAAATGACTTACAAGCAAAGTGGAATGCAATGTCGAAGGAGGAGCATGTTGTGACGATCCAGGATGATATCAGGAGCTTGAAGGAGAAGCAGAACATGAAGAGGTACTCAAAGCACAATGTCGCACTCGTCGCATTCTCCATGCTCAGATGACATTGGTGGGGATCCAGGATGAGGTTAGTAGTCCAGTTTGTTGAGTAGTGTACAATGCTAATCTGACTGATCAACTACAGGCTCTTAGCACACACTCTGGTGTCGAAACTCTCTTGATTGCAGTTCAAACAAATTTTAAATTCTACAGCAATCCACTCATCTTTTACAGCAATCAACGCCTTGTCGACTACCTCGAGATGATGATGAAGACTTCAGTCAGAAACTATGCAGTGAGAATAGAAGGCTTCACGATCTCTGACATTGAAGGTATGCTTTATATTCTATATGCCTATCCTGTTGTGCCCTGACAGTGTTCAGCCAGGATGCATTGGTAATCATGTCTAGCAAACACTTCATCTTAAGGCAAGAATCTCTGAGCTGGTGCTTGCGAAAGCCAGTATGTATTACCAGTCCATGTTGGTGCATATCCACTCATGCCTGTTTAGACAAAGTTTTGCCAGTCCCAATCAAATGTATGATCTATCAGAACTTCAATGAGAACATTACTGCTAAGTATCACCACGCCATCATCAACTACCCACTGAAGAAGTTCTGTTACCCCAGTGATGTTGGCTCAAAGAGCGAGCTGGAGCTTCTGCTCTGGGCTTGGGAATCAGGTGTAACGTTTTAGAAGTATCTGTCAGATGAGGGATTTGAATAGTGGGAAGCAGCACGGTTCAATGTGAAATTATTTTTTTTTTGTTTTGGCATTTATTTCTATCTCGCGCTATGTGCAGTGTTTAAAGAGAGGGTGTACAGGCACAGGCATATGCTACAATGTGGCGCAACTCAGGGTGGGCATAAGGAAGGGTCAAAGGGAGGATGGCAGGGCTGCGAGTGGGGCGATTAGCCAGGGTCAAAAGGTGCAAGGCTCACAGAAGTAAAAGTGGGAGTAGTTGCAATAAAAAGCGCGAGACGGTCCAAGCCCTCTGGGTGTTTTCATAGATGGCAGAGGTGGGTGCGGGTGGGATTGGCAATGCTGAATAGGGTGTGCTGGGCATCATCGTGCAGCGGGCAGCTAAGCAGGGTATGGGTGCATGAGTTAAGGAGCGCAGGGTTGCAAATGCACTCGCGAAAACTACAGTGATAGTGAGAGTTAAAGAAAGTGCCGATGTGGCCATGACCGACGATGGCCTGGACAAATCGGCCCTCGGTGTTTCAAGAAAAGTTGCCGGAGCGGAAAACAGAATGAAGGGTGGTGGAGGGGGCCCAGGGCCAGGCTTCACGCAGTGCAGTGGGACGATCAGTAGCCACATATTCCACCTGCCAAGAGGAGGTCGCTCGCTCACGCACCCACCATCTCGCCCACGCAATTGTGGAGCAGATGCTTTTGGGTTGGGACACAGCCACCTTGGCGAGGCGGTCAGTCACTTTGTTGTCCAGTACACCATGGTGACCAGGCACCCAAACCAGCGTAATTTTCAGGTTACGGAAATTGCCCATGAGCGGCGTGAGATGGTTTCGGAAGGTGAGTGAGAAAGGCTGCCCCAGGTGGGGCTCAAGGAAAAAAGGAGAGACAGGGCAGCGCGGTTGTCCGCACAGATGTAAATGGTGAAAATGTCGGGATAGGCATTAAGAAAGTCACGAAAATAAGAAGACACGGTCGTGATGGCGAAGAGCTCCATGTCGAAGACCTCAGCTCGATGCTCCATTCCCCATGTGCATTGAAACTTAAGGGCTGAATGATGGTAGATGCATGCACCTGCTCCTGCTGCACGATGATGGGGGGCTGGTAGTGGGTGAGAGGTTTGAGAGCCATCAGTGAACACCCAGAGGGCTGTGGGGTCTGAAAAGTGAGTGGACAAAAATGGGGTGAGTACGGACTCCACATGATGAGTGGATGCATCCTTGGTGGAGGCAGGGATGAGCGTGATGACTCATGTTCCTCAAGGGTGTGGTGCCTCCCATGGTGGGTGGAGGAACGGGTCAGTGCACATGGAGTCACGTGGTAGTTCCTCCTCTAGGGCCGTGACTAGGGTGTACTCCACACGGCGATGGCATATGGAGGGGTTTAGAAGGGTGAATTGGGGCGGGTATAGGTGGGCCTGGTCGCTCATGCAGGTGGCGATGGGGTGATGCCAAGGAAGGGTGAGCAGTCACACAGCTGTGAGGTTTGACAGATGTTGCAGCTGCTGTTTCATTAGGAGCAGGCTGGTGATGAGGTTCAGGGCGACCTGCGGAGTGGACTTCCACGTGTCGAGGAACCACCACAGCACCATGGTTTGGATGCATTTGAGCAGGTAGAAAAGGGCTCACGGCATGCGAGGATTGTACCAGATGGGGCTGCCAAAGGTGAGCACGGGTAAGACGGTAGAGAGGTAGAGGAGGTGGGCTTGGGCAACAGAAATTCCGTGCTGGGTGTTCGTGAGTTGGTGCAGTGCTATGCCCCAGGATTGTGTGTGTGCTGCCATGACACGGATGTGATGCTCAAATGATAGGGTACGGTCAAGCCATAGGCCGAGCCACCGGAGGTAGGGCTTTGGCTCTAGACGCTCTTGGCGGCCGTTCCACTGAAAAGTTAAGGGGGGGTTAGAGGAAAGGCCAGCGGTCAACGGGCAGAAATGAATGAGTTCAGTTTTGGGCATGCCGACGGTAAGGCTGAGCATGCCCAGGGAGTGAGCGATGGTGGGAAGGGTGTCCTGTAAAAGTGCGACATTTTGTCATAGCAAGGGGGAGATGATGAGAAGAGTAAAATTGTCTACATATCCTGCAACAGTTTGCTGCAGATGAAGAAAGGGATCAAGCATGCGATAGAGGGGAGAGGAGTATATGGTGGATAAGACAGGTGACAGGAGCGAGCCCTGAGGGATGCTGAGAGTGACTACAGGGTAGGAAGAGCCCAGCTCCCCTTGCAGTTTGGGTGAGACAGAGCGGTCAGCGAGGAAAGAGGAGACCCAGCAGACTTCATTGACGGGGAAGCCGAGGGATAGAAGAATAGAGTGCAGGACATCGTGACGGATGTTATTGTAGTATTCCTCGATGTCCATGCAGAGAAGGGAGGCAGAAAAACTGTTCGCCCAAGTGGTGCGAACAGTATGGGTTAGGTGCATTCCTGCATCGACGACAGAGTGCTGGAATCAGCCCCCAAATTGAGTGCCCAGGATGAGGTCAAGGGCACCGATCTGCCAATTAAGGCGTGCGGCCACCACTTTTTCCAGGAGCTTACTCAGGGTTTCAAGCAGGGCTATGGGTCTGTACGCACTTGGCGCCGTGTAGTCTGGCTTCCCCGGTTTGCGAATGAAAATGAGCGCAGCAACTTTTAGCAAAGAAGGAAGGTGGCCCAAAGATAGGGACGCTGCCAGAAAATCATAAAGAGCGTGACGTGCTGTGGACTGCCAGAGCCATCGAACGAGCCTCCAGGAAGTTCCAGAGGGGCCCGGAGCTGACAGGAGGGAAGTAGAAGACAACGCTGCAGACACCTCACTCTCGAGGAGGGGGTGGGGTGTCCGCGGCAGTGGGTATGGAGGGGAAACGACAGGGTTTAAAGGAGGGAGAGACAGAGAAGGAGGAAAATAATGCTCAGTGAGCACCTGCCTGATGTCGTCAGGCAGGCTGAACGACTCATTGCGAGTGTGAATGATGGATGGCGCTGGGGTGCATTGCCCCTTGGTTCACGAGAAAAGGCACCAGGGGTTAGTGTGTTGCAGTCGGGAGGCTGCCGCAATGGCCCACTCCTTGCATGCTATGCAGATGACTTGTTAGAGGTCTCGCTTTGCGTGGTGACGCTCTGCTGTGTTGGTGGCATCCTAGACCCACCGTCTGGTGAAATCACAGCCATCGTTCCACCACAGTTGTGATGGCTGGTGGGTGCGGGTGCATGGTGGGAAGGTGGTGATATTGGCAGCATCGATGGCATGTAAAAGTGCCATGGCACCCTGATCGAGGTCAGAGGTGGAGGAGTAGCTGGGGGGGAGGGTTGGTTAGGAGAGCAACATCGAGAGCTTCAAGCCACTCGCTCCGTAGGGAGGGGTCCATGCAGAAACCAAGGTCAACTTCCGCGGGAGTGGCCTCAGTGCATACAGTATAGGTAATGAGGGAATGGTCTGAGGCCCATGGAGAATCCTCGATGGCATACTGTGAAAGAGCAAACCGGGGGCTGCTCGAGGCCCATACCAGGTCAATGATAGCACCCGTGGAGGGATTTCCTCTGACGGTATGAGTGGGGAGGTGAGGCTCAGTGAAAAGCTCTAGGTGACGGTCGATGGTCCACTGGACCAGGTTGTCTGCCCCTTTAGTAGTGGTGCAGAAAGCGCGATGCTTCCATGCTCAGAGGGGGTGGTGCATGTTAAAGTCCCTGCATAGCAGGAGTGGGATTTCGGGCAGAAACGAAGAAGAAAGAAGGTGCCGGAGGCCAGACTGGCCAGCTGTGGGCATGTCATTATAGATATTAACGACCAAGAATTGGTCACCGTGCGACGAACGAGGACATCTGGGTGGGAGGAGATATTGGAATGGAGCATGATATGGAAGGAGTCAAAAAGGTGTTTCCTCACCAGGCAGCTGATGCGCGGTCTGGGGGTTGGGTTGGAATGAGGGAGATGGAAAGTAATAAGATTAAAGGGAGCTGCATTGACAGTGCCGAATACAGGGGCACCGGATTCTGCCCCATGAGGGGTGTCAGACCTGATGCATCCCCACCAAGGTTCTTGGATGAAATACAGATCAAAGGAAGAATTAGCCAGAAGGCCATAGAGCTGCAGATTCGAACGGGCTACATTCAGTTGTGCAGTTGTAAGAATTATGATGCAGCGACAGTGGGCAGCGAAGGAATGCGATACTGAGCGCGTGCAGTGCAAGACAGGTCGTCAGCATGGTGCTCGCCATGGATTCTGCAAACATGGCAGAAAAAGTGGGTTGATGGACATGGGACGGTTGCAGGATTGTTCTCAAGAGCACAGGCACTGCAAGCATTGTGGTGCTGATCGGTAGTATGGGTGTCCTTGCTGCAGAAGCGGCAGAGGGGCAGTTTGCACTTGCAGAAGCATTCAGTGTGAGTCAGGGCCCAGCAGCGGGTGCATTGGCATAGGACAGGTTTGTCCTTAGAGCGCTTCATGAGGAGCTGAGCTCCCATGAATTAAACAGACATGGAGGGCTCGCCACGGTTGTCGTGGCCAATCAAGAAACGTGAACAGAAGTCCCGCTTGAGGTCTTTGATGGAAAAAATTAGGGACGCGCGCTCCCGCGTGTCCTCCGGCCCCGCAAAGGTGGTGAAGGCAGGTATGCCATTGAAGTAAACGTCCGTGAAGACGGGGTTGGTATGAAGTTCGGTCATGATTTCTTCCCCGGTGAGCAGAGAGCTGCTCACGGGGTGGCACCTCAGGCACGCCAGAATGAACAGTTTAACAGTAGGCAGAACGGGACAAAAACCCTGGGGCAGCATGACAGTGCGTGCACCCGCCAGGACTGGGGAGGCAGCGTGGGGCTCAAGATTGAGGATGATGCAGATGGCCTGCAGAGCATCTCGAATAAGGGTATCTGGAGAGTCATGAGAGAAAGTAAGGAGCATCTTGTTTGGGGCAAGGCGCATGCCATGAAAAATTACCTTCGACCAGGCTTCTGCTTTCTGAATTCGCTGGGTAATGCGCTGATACCAGATGGCAAGGGCGGTTGCACAAATGTGGGTTACCTGCTCTGAAGTGAGCAAGGTGTGGTAGGTTTTGTCGGTCGGCGGTGGCAGCAGTGAGGGTGCCTTGGCAGCTGTCTTCTTGGCAGTGGGCTCAGCAGATGCATTGTCCCCACACGTGGTTCAGGTGGCGTCAGAAAAGAATTTGATTGTTTGCTTGTGTGGACCTGCGGGGGGACCTGGGGGTACCAGTAGTGGGCGGAAACGGGCCAGGGTGGCTTTGATGGCAGATAGGCACGCATCAATGGTGACGGTCACCACGTGGATGCCTGCCTCGATGCCCTTTGCGATGGTGGACTTTATGTGCTCAGGCACAGAGTTAGTATGTGCGGGCACCCCCAAGGGGTCCATGTCGCCAGCGCACTGTCGGATGATGGCGGCGAAGATGGCAGATGCCCCTTTGTCAACTTTCGAGTGCATGACCTCCTCGTTGTTGAGGAATCGATTCTGGATGTCTGCGAAGGTGTCTGTGAGGGCGTCGACTATGTCGATGATGCCCTCGCTGATGTCCTCCGTGATGACTGGGTCTTTGGCCAAAGTGACCATGCATAAGGGCCGCTGGAGGATGTTCTCCAGGTCGGTGAGTAAGTCCCTCAGGAACGCAGTTCCCGGTGAGGCTGAGACAGGCAACGGTTTGACATTACTTTCACTAGCCAGCGGAGACTCCCCCAGGGAGGCACGCTCTACAGTGGCGACCTCCATTTTGACGTCAGTTGCGGTTGCCGATTGGGCGCTTGACGAGGACATGGTGGTAAAGAGACAAGAAGGGATGCGATTGAATGTGAAAATGGCAGAGATGCACAGCAGCAATGACAATGATGGTGACGACACTCACGTCAATGTCACCAATCTCATCTGTGCAGCTGGAGGTCAAGCAGGCCTGCAGACCAATGTTTGTACTGACATCCAATCCATCTCGAATGCCAACACCACCACCACTGCCATCGCCGTGATCTCTGCCACCATCAACTCCACAGCCTTCATCGATGCCACTGCCTCTGTTGATGCCACAGCCTTCGTTGATGCATCTACCTCGTCCACCAACACCACACATGCCATTGGTATGTCCGCTGTTTTGATCGAGCTGAACAAACAGCGTAATATGTCCGGTGAGCCATTCGTCAAATTTATCAACTTCAACGTTGTATCCTCGTCTGACGGCTCCACTGTACCTATCACAAAGACAGCGAGAAAGCAGCGTTCTGACAGGGAAAAGAAATGAGGCCCATGCAACAGGTCAAATTGAGCGCAGACAGAGAATGTTGGCCCCATAGCAGCTGTGGACGTTTGAGGATGGTCATAACAGATGTGTCGATGAGTTGAGCAGTATAGATGGACCTTGTGGACACTGGTGCGAGCCTTTTAGCAGGTGTGACTTCATTCTGTAGCTTGCCTGGCTGAGGTCTGTAGTCTTCTGAGAATATACATTGCTCATTACTCTCCTGCTAAGAAAGACGTGAAAGGCCTGTAAAAATAAAGTCAGAGCCATGCATTGCTTGTCACCATTGGTGGCGATGAGCACATGCTGAGAATTTGTCACCATAATAATGTAATCATGTTATACATAATATCAGCTACTAGTAACAGAAAGAATATAAAAAATTGTGAGGAAAGACATCTGACATTGTGTCACAGATTTTTGCCACAAAGTCCACACGTGACTGTTCTCACACCACAGATCACGTGCTTCACCAATATCTCATGCCACTCAGCCACAGACATGATGCATAGAGTTCAGGTGATAGTCTACATCACATGTTATGGTCCAGACCTGCAGATGATACGGTCAGACCTGTCTATTCTAGGATACAATAGAGGCACCCATTTGGGAACAAAGGGAACAAGGACTATTGTTACGCATTGGCCTCCCACTTCCTATTAGTTTAGCCAGAAGCCAAGATAGGCACAATGTTCACATGCACTACTGCAGCAACCATCGATCTTCCCACTTATTGTTCTACTTCCAGACATTCCATTGTTTCATGTACAGCCATTAGCTTATACCCATAAATAGGTAGCTTAGGTAAGATAGCCTGCTGTACATGTATATAAGACCAGCATGTAGAGGATGAAACTTCAGATTGTTTCTCCTCATCTATCACTGTAGCATCTACTGAGCCTAGCAGCTCCTTCATATATCTCTCTCACCCTCCAACCACTTGCTTGTCTACAGCATACCATCCCCAAACAGATGGTCAGACAGAAAGGGTTAACCAGGTGTTGGAACAGTACCTCCGCATGTACTGCAACCACAGACAAAATGATTGGGTTTACTATCTGCCAACGGCAGAATTCTCATACAACAACCAGACCCATGAGTTCACCGCACTTTCCCCATTCTTCATCAAATATGGCTGACACCCAAAAATGGCACCAGACGTACACGAATCAATATGTCACCCCTCATTGGAACATCTATTCATCCACCGAACTGAGGCACAAGAACAGGCAAAGGCAGCATTGGAAGTTTCAGCTTCACGGATGAAATGGTACTTCGATAAGAAAAAGGGAGAAGTCCCATTCAAAGTTGGAGACCTAATACTACTCAAAGGAAAAGATCTCAGAGTAAAAGTCAAATCTGCAAAGCTAGGCACACAAAACTTCAGACCTTACAAAGTACTTCAGAAGCTAAGCCCAGTCACGTTCAAACTGAAACTGCTCAAGCAAATGAAGGTCCACCCGGTCTTCCATGCTAGCAAGTTGATCATGTACCATCAAGACACAGTCGCACACCACGTACCCCCAAAGCCCCCAGCCATAGAAATCGAAGGAGAACCAGAATTCGAAGTTGAAGAAATACTAGACTCGAAGGTCATAAGGGTAAGGGTCCAATACCTCATCAAATGGAAAGGCTATGACCATTCTGACGATACATGGGAACCCCGAACAAATCTTACCAATGCTGATGAGCTTCTTCAAGAATTCCACCAGCAACACCCAGATGCAGCCAAAGCACCAATCAGGGTCATCACTTTTGGTGGAAAACACTTCGAATTATCCTCATATGAAGTTGCACCAATCTCCACACACAGAATCAATATGTCCGACCATCCGGACGAGTTCTTCCTGTATCATAAAATGATAGATCTCACCAAATCACCAAAAAAATCCTCAAATGAAGCAGCAGGATGGGATATTTATGCAGCAGAAACGCATGAAATCCCTCTGCATTCACGAGCTGTGGTAGGAACGAGAGTCGCAATTGACCCTCCCAAACACACCTATACATGAATAGCTCCACGCAGCAGACTGGCTGCATGAGAAATTGATGTGGGCGCAGGAGTCGTTAACCCTGATTACACTGGAGAACTCAAGGTCATACTGATTAACACAACAGATTTCGTATTTTCGGTCAAGCCGTGAGACAGAATAGCCCAGATAATCTTCGAATATTATGCCGAAGGGCTTCCCTCCCGAAGCTATCAACCGTTGTGAGCAACTAGAAGGGGAAATAAAGGTTTTGGCTCCTCGAGACAATGAGCCTTGAGAGGGGGGTAGTGTCACAGATTTTTACCACAAAGTCTGCACGTGACTGTTCTCACACCACAGATCACGTGCTTCACCAATATCTCACACCACTCAGCCACAGACACGATGCGTAGAGATCAGGTGATAGTCTACATCACATGTTATGGTCCAGACCTGCGGATGATATGGTCAGACCTGTCTATTCCAGGATACAATAGAGGCACCCATTTGGGAACAAAGGGAACAAGGACTATTGTTACGCATTGGCCTCCCACTTCCTATTAGTTTAGCCAGAAGTCAAGATAGGCACAATGTTCACATGCACTACTGCAGCAACCATCGATCTTCCCACTTATTGTTCTACTTCCAGACATTCCATTGTTTCATGTACTGCCATTAGCTTATACCCGTAGATAGGTAGCTTAGGTAAGATAGCCCGCTGTACATGTATATAAGACCAGCATGTAGAGGATGAAACTTCAGATTGTTTCTCCTCATCTATCACTGTAGCATCCACTGAGCCTAGCAGCTCCTTCATATATCTCTCTCACCCTCCAACCACTTGCTTCACCAAGTAAGTCTTAGGCTCTCAAGCCACATAAGGGTTCAGGGGGGTTATAGGGATCAGGGGGATCAGGGCGGCACGTTCCACGTGACCATTCCTTTTTAGTCTCTTTGTTCTCTCATCCAGCGGTGCTGTGACACATTGTCATGGCACATCATAGATCCTGCCAAAAGGCAAGGAAATGGCTGCAAGGTGCTAGCTGCGCTCAGTGACCTGCACAAATACCAAAATAAGGGCCTGCCACAAAGGATCAGGCCAAAAAGGCATGCAGTGACATGCAGCCTGCAAAAAGGGGCTCAAAGAGCCTTAGCCTTATATCACACAAAGAGGGGTGATGGCTTGTAAAGCTGCATGAAATAGATGAATGAAACTGGGGATACCCAGCTTCCTCATAGGTACTTATATACATGTAGGGCAGGGCCCCTGGTACTGTGCTACTGTGAAACCTCAGATACCTACATGTGTACATATAGCCAAAACCAGTAATGGTTTTGTATTCGTCATGACAACTATCTATAAAGGCCATAGATACGCCGAGGTAATCCTATCTAATCCAATAAAACAATTGCCTGTAAGTGGGCCCACTGTTGAGGGGCCAATGGGTGATGGCCAACAGGGCACATCACAACGGTTACAGCATCAGATGAGAGGATCTGTCCAAACTCAGAACAATGAGTGGGATGATCAGTCTTCATCTGGATAAGGTTGTGAGAAGATCCAGCCTATCCTGTACCTGGCTATACTGTATGCCAGTTGGTAGGAGGATCCTTTGTGGTGCCTGCCTATTGGCTAGGTGGCAAAGTGGTGCCACTATTTTGAGTGACAAATCGGGTACTTGCTAGCTTGATGGTCTAATGGGTTCCTTTCTGGGCAAGTGACCTGGTGTCACATAACCAATGCCTGACAACTTTCAAATAGGACAAGTGGCCAGTGTCACATGACTGGGTGGCTGAATCATGGGTGGTTGATGGTCATGTGGTAGACACAGTCATATCTGCAATGTATGTGGCAGTATTGTGCTATTTGTTCAAGTATCCACTTTGTGAGACCAATATGAAGGTTGGTGTCCGAATAACCACTCAAATGAGGACTTTTAATGGTGCAAAAAGAAAGGTGCCACCAATACTGTGACAGACATAAGGAATCGGCGAGGTCGCTGTTGGTGGTGGTGAGCGCACATATATGCCTTCACTGTGGACTATGAATACTACTGCACTTCGCTTACAATATGCGATAGGATTCCATACAAAAAAATGAAAGAAAACGGTCAGAAAATTGTCTGTTCAGAGCGGAAAGAGCATTGTCATTGTCGACGCAGCGAGCACCGGGTCCCGACATGGCCCAGAAGTGGAGACGCCGGGAGAGTGGCCACCAGCCCGATCGGGAACGGGTGTGACCTTATCAGTATCTGATCACTCAGCCACCTGTGGCCATTTACATTACATCAGCGGGGGAATTCCCGCGTACTCCAACAGGAAAAAAGCTACGGTGATATCGGCGGTGGGGGAAGACTGCGCCTTCGGGCCTGGTTAGGCTGCCGAGCCCGGGTCGCACGGCAACCTAACTAGGCCGGATAAGCGTGAGGTCCAGGTGAGTTAATCTTTGTCATGTAGCAAAATTGCACAGTACTGTACAGGCAGTGATGACACCATGTTTGTCCATTCAGTCTTTTTTTGTCGTTTATTTTACAAGTCAATGCATTAAGAATAGTTTGAACTTACTCACATGTCAAGCATGAAATACTGGAATCCTCAACTTCTTCTTCACGACCTTTCATTCTGAATGGCCGATTGTTTCGCACATTGCTGGCGAGCAGGGGATCTGATTGCAGCTCCAACCTCAGTATGTTTGACTTTGAAAAGTCCGGTATAGAACTCAAATGATATCAAGTCAGTGGATTGCGCATAGACTACCGTACTTTCCGTAAGGGCCGTGACAAAATAGGCATTTTGTACAGACTGAACATCGACCACCGATCCTCCACTTGTCTACAAACCACCTCGCATACATCCACCGTTCAATGTCTCCCATTCACGCCATTGACGCCGTTGACCTGGCTCAGCGCCGCATCCGCCTTACGGAGGTCGCCCTCGCTGAGGCTGTTCGACTTGCCGCCGCCCGGGGTGCTCATGCCCGACATGATCGAGCTCGCGCGTGAGCGAACTTTCATCACGAGGGGGCTGCGCGAAGGCGAGAGAAGTCAGCTCATAAGCGAAAAAATGTGAAGATTTATACACGTACAAAGGATAGCCTTCGTCCTCGTCCTCGGCCTGAGATGGCCATGAATATCCGCGGTAGTCGCTTGTGCCGAGTGCCTGCATCTATCGTGTCGAAGCGTCAACGTACAGGTCTCCAAATCGAGGGCGACAACCTCACCTCCTCCGTAAGCGTTCCAATGTCTCCCGGCGTCGCAATGCCCGTCATCCTGAATCGCGGGCTCGGCGGAACCGAGTTCGGCGGCATCCTCTCCATACTAAAGTCGAACTCCTCTTCTCCTTCCCCAGCGCCGTAGAACGCGTCGGGATACGCGCGGCGCAGCGCGAGCTGCCTCGCCTTCGAGTATTCGATGCCCAGGTTCTTCCAGTCGAGCAGCGGGCTGAGGCGTTCGACACGGTTCCGCTGGTTGATACGCTGCCGCCGCGTCTTTTGCACGAACTTATGCATGTAGTCAGTGAGCTGGTTGACCGAGTCCTCAGGAGACTGCGCGCGCCGATCAACGATGTAGCAGCCTTCTTCTTCCGGTCGTTCAATCAGATCTTGCATGAAGCACCCGAAACCAGAGAGGTTGGTCGTTATAGAAGGGATACCCATCTAGGTTAGGTAACATTTCTTCTTGAGCGCAATGACAATGCATCAAGTCCGCGAGACATACCACTGTACATTCCGCGGGCGTGTAGCCCCAAGGCTCATAATAGCTCGGGAACACACCAAGATGGCAACCACGGACGAACTCCTCATAGTCGAGCCCAAGGATCGGGTTATTCGAGTTGAGGAAGTCTGGATGGAAGACGATTTTGACTCGATCAGCAGATGAATTAAACAACTGGACACGGCGGATCTGGTTCAAGATGGGGTCATTGGCATCATCAGCCATGTTGTGCGTCGTCACAGGCGGCAAGGCGTTGCGTTTCAGCGCGAAGATGCGGCGCTTTAGCAGCACCTTGTCCTCCTCCGAGATGAGATCGTCGGGCGTCGGCAGCGTGCCATGTTCACTATGGTTCATAAACATTGATATCCCAACTGACGCGTATAAGCAATCTGGAGACGTACCCATTGGATCGAATGGCATGCTCGAACAACCTGGCTCCGATTCTGTTTTGAATCTCCGTGACAGTGTCTCGCAGCTGCTTGGTGACTGCTTGACCCTTGAGCGCGTCGATTGTATACGAGTGAGTAGCGGCGGGCATGATGATGAATGCGATGACAGTTGTCTTCGACCCAGACTTCTTCAGACGATAGTTCAGACCTGCATTGCGTGATGGACAAATGAGTCTCATATGTCGTTATCGTGTCGATCGGCAGGTACGCACGAGCCAGAGACTCTATGAACATATCGACACCCTTGTTTCGGTATTCATAACGACCTGCAGTGAACATCTGTCACTGAAATTAGCATGTGTCGGGGCACATTCAGACTGACAGACGAACGTAGAGCGTGTCATCTAGGTTGAAATCGTAATGGCCGTAGAAATGGCCCCGAACAAACTCGTGAATCTTCGCTTTGGCAGTAGCGTGCAAGTTTTGGAACTCATGCATGGCCTGGAACTTGACGACATTCAAGCCGTTCGGAAGGACACCATCCGGCTTGCGTTTGAGCAGATGCTCAGACTCATACGCGGTGATGTGGGAGACGGTGGTGAACACATCTGCACAATGCGCCGAAGAACGTTCGATGCAGTATCTGTGGTAGATACCGCGCTTTCCTGCCTCGTGGTCGACATCAAAATACTGGAGGTTGTTGTAAAAGTCCACGCTGCCCGCGCAGAGGTAGCGCCCAAGGAGGGTTGCGTGGGTGGTAAAGACAGTGGTGACATCAATATGACGTTTTCGGCAAAGCGGGATCGCGAGACCCGCTTGCCACTCGTGGAAATGTGCGACGACGGCATGATCTAGCTGTCTCGATACGTACTTGAGGGGGGATCAGATGGATCGCGGAACGATAGGGCAGCAGCTGAGCGTACCTCGCCTAGGAACCAGGCGACAATGTAGCCAAAGATGATGGTTTCGTTCGTTTCGTGATCGTTTGGTGGAGTAGGGATTCCAGCAAGGTTCCAAAGATCGCCCTTCCATTCGTCCAATCGGTGGTATTGGCTTCCAGTGTCGAACAAGAGAACGTGGGGCGCGCCTTCGATGAGCCATCTTCCATAGAGTGATTTGACACCAGCATTACGCATGGCTTCAAGCGTGCCGGCAAGGTGAGGATCTGTGGGCTCCTGCGCCTCGACCTCCATCGGGGCGGTCTTGTAGCTGAGGGGGCCGATGAGGCAGTAGCGGTCGCCATACTCGGAGACGGTGACAGGGACCTTAGTCTTGATCACGGTATAGATACCGCCGACCTTGTTGGCCACCTCCCAAGCGCTTTCGAAGAGGATGGAGCTGCGGACGTCGCGTTTTCCGTCGGACATGGCAGTGATGGCGAGGGAGAATGCTCGAGGGGGATAAGACTAGAGTTCAGAACGAGTACGGGGGGAGGGGGATATATGGGACGGTGGGGAGGGGGAGGAGCGGAGAAGAGATGAATAGCGATAGGACCGGGCGGCGAATATAAATTGCGCGTGCAAGGACTTATCTGCACACGATATTCGGCGAGATCGGGAGCGAAAATGAAGTGGAATGAAGGCTATCTTTTTACAGAGGATTTGCGACGATTTACACGGCTGACCTTTCCTCCCTATGACGTAATCGGGCGCTCCCCTGCGGGCACCCGTAAGGCCACAAGCATCGACTTGTCGGGTAATGCAACAGAAACTCGAAAGTTGAGGCGACCCGCCCGAGAAAGCAATTTCGATCTGCTCATCCCGATGGGTCGATAGATACCGTTGCATGCATTTGCAGCCTGCTGCGCCACGACTTATCCTCACTGCAATCTCTCCGAGAAACTGCGTCCGAGCACGCGTGTATCGACGTCCAAACAGCGAGCATCTCAAACACGCATACCCAGACACGGAGAATAACGATTTGCCGCGAGATGAATGAACTATTCATGAGAGCAGAGCCATGGCGATCACCGCAGAACAGTATGCGCTCATTAATAGAAATTCAATACCATCTCTGAGATCTCGGCGGCGGCGGTTATCGTGGCCGTTACCCTTTGTCCAGCCGTAAGCGGACTTCTCATATCAACATGGTCCGCGGACTTCCTCCGTGATGACTAGATGATGAATAAGATCTATCTAGCATCAGGATTCTTTTGAGCGCTGCTACGCATGCATGCAACGAGCGTGCCTGAGTTAGATCGTGCGGCACCATTCAACTTTTTGCCAGCAGATCCCATTTGCCGAACAGCAGGCTGCAGCATGCATGAGTCAGATTGACGATCACGATAGAAAAAGCCGCGACACGACGCACTCGAACAGAGCCATGGCCGTCCATTTGCGGTTATCTGCCTCCTCGAAAACGAGAGAGCGTGGCCCGTAGAAGACCTGACATTGTGCATCGGATGTTGCAGATTGACATTCATGCACAGTACACAGAAGGTTTGTATAACACACAACGTTATAGAAAGTAACAGACATTCATCAGTCCGCCTCAATGGGACTGCGTGATCAACAGACGCACCTCGTCGTCCACCTCATGCGGTTTCCGCGGTAGACAATGCATGAACTTCCAGTCAGGCTTCGCGCGGCCCTCCCGACAGAGTTGTTCCGTCACTTGGTAGCCTTGGAAGTCCTTTAGACGCTGTTCCTTCTCAGCTTCTTGGCCCATCGATATCCTGCAAGCTCGTAAATGCTTTTGTCGTCACAACCGCACGCTGGACGTGCATTCTGCCCACTCACCACGTATCTGTGACGACAAGATCCGCGCCGTGAACCGCCTCATGCGGATCCGCCGTCCAGTATATGCCCTTATCGCACCCGAGCTCGACGACGCGATCCCAAACTTGCTTCGGCGCACGATACTTCTCTGGGCTCGCCACGCGCATCTGGTGTCCGAGCCGCGGGTACGTCACCAACATGTCGTGCAGCACGTTCGCCGAATCGCCTACGTACGCGATTGTGAGCGGGCGCAGCAGCGAAAATGTCGGGATCGTTTTGTGCGACGCGGCATCCGCGTCCTCCTTCAATCCTTTCTCCGAAAAGTACGGGTGCTCCTGTAACGTGAGGATGTCCGCCAGAACCTGCGCCGGATGCCAGAGCGATGAGAGCGCGTTCAGGACCGGCACCGGCGAGTACTTCGCCAATTCCTTCAACGAGCCGAATCAGCACCTTTAACATACCAGAAACTCGTCCACTGTCCACATACCTCAATCTCCTCGTGCTCGCCTACGCGTGCAAAGATTCCATCGCACATCCCACCAATGACCCGCGCCGAGTCCCTCACACTCTCGTTCACGCCCAGTTGAATATCCTCCTTCCCCAAGAACACAGCGCGCCCGCCGAGGAGCACCGCCGCGGTCTCAGCGGACACCCGCGTCCGCGTGCTGCGCTTGGAAAATATGAGCGCGATAGATTTGTTTAACAGCGACTGTGACGGCATGGGCAAGTTGCTCTGGCTTTTTGTTCGCGGACCGAGCCATGGTAGGGAGACCTTCTTGAGTGAATGTGCATGCGCGAGAATGCGGCTTATTTGCGCCGGCGTAAGGTCCGCCAGAGTCATCAGATGCGGAACTGACATGTTTGTTATTCTACAAAAAATGATAGAGGGCGAGCAATGGGAGACTTGGTCAAAGAGCAGGAGCTGCAAAACGCGAGCCTCTGCTAGGATGACTCGATCACGAGACTCGACGCGTCCCGACGATGCCCTGTCGCGTCCCCACGCGTCTCTTAGCACGAACTTTCACAACGTGCACTTCACCGAGACATTGAATACTCCCACATAGACACTTGATCACCATCGTCAATAGTAGAAACAATAACCAAGATCTAGTTCGCGCGGATCTACATCTACGATAAACCCACGACAGACAGAGTTCGATCTTCAAAGTCCTCAATAAAATGAATTACAAGACAATAAGCAATACACATAGTATCACGGTCATGACGACAGCGTCTCTTCAAGCTCCTTATGTATTGAAAATGACAGTCGTCTCTGCGTTTTCGGAGCCCGTCTTCCTCCCGTGCGTCTATTGAAACCAATCGCACATCAGCACCATGCGTCGCATACATGCGACAAGACTATTACTCACTGCTGCTCCTGGCAGACGAACGTGTCTGGCGCGCCCCTCCACCCATCCAACACATCCTTCCCCCTCATCTCCCCATTCCGCTCCTCCCGATCCGGAGGCCCAAAGAGATCCAACGCAAGCTGCGTGTGCTTCACGCCCGCATATGTTGTCACGCACCTAGGGTTGACCATGATACGCGCAGGCAGGAACACCGAATTCGGTATCGTGAGCTCAAACGTAGAGTGCGTGTCCTCCGGCGGCGACTCGAGCGGGAGATCCGTGGCATCATAATCAGACCCTGCGTTCGCATCCGGATCCTGCTGAGCAGGCTGCCGAGCCTCCAAAGGTTCTTCGTCTTCACCTTTGACATCCCCTTGTTCATCATCCTGACGAGCCTCGAGAGGCTCTTTCTCCTCGCCTTCGCCTTCGAGCTCAATGGGAGCACGTTTCTCAACGGCAGGCTGTCGGATGTCTGCATCTGCGTCTGCAACTTTAAGATCCGTCTCCAGGTTCCGAAGCCCTTCTCTCGCCTTCCAGACCCATAAATCTCTGCAGAACCAGGCCTGCGTGCTATCCAGGCACTTGTCCTCCGGATTCCTAACAGGTGGACTTGCAGGCGTACTCGCGTTGTGAAAGTCTGTGCCTGCGCGATAAGCGATGCCGGCATAGTACGACTGTGCCGGGTCCACCACATGCGTGCCAGACTCGCAGCAGAAGACTTGGAACGGCAGGTGCTGCGTATAGCGCTGAGCGCCGACATTGTCGCGAGGAGGGACGGAGGTGAGAGGCGAGTTCGAGATCGATGATGACTTCGATTGGCGAAACTGGTCACCGTTTATGTCCCTTGTCCGCCATCTAGAAAATGTCGTAGATGCATCCGGCAATGCCGTAACAACGATACGTATGAGCTTACCGATCTGAGAAAATGAAGAACCCGTTGTGCTCTGCCCAATCCATTCCACACACCATTGCTGCCTCATTGGCTATACTCAACTTGATCGTCTCGAGAATGTCGTTCGGGCATGTGAAGCCTTTCAGCCAGATGACACGATGGAATTTGATGGTGCGCTTCTCATACAGCTCATGCAATGGCTCCAGCACAAGGTTCCTCGTGTACGCTTCCTCGAGCGGGTAATATGCCGCGATCGGATCCACTGTCATGCCAGGTATCCTCCGGATGCGGAACGGCACCCCTAACAGCGTCAGCACAGCTTCACATAGGTCTGTAAGTGTCGCCGTAGAGTCTGACGAGTCGTAATCAAGCATAGACACGAAAAGGTTGCTGTTGCCCAGCCGGCGGGCCAGCTGCACGATGACCGCGAGCTGGTCCACAAGGAAGTGATCAGCGGAATGGATGACCATGCCGATATAGTACAGCTGATCCTGCCTGGCCAGATCTTCGTACGCATCCTCGTACTTGTTCTGCCCGAATGGCCGAGTAAGGGTAGGACATAGCGCAGCGACCCAGCCGTTAAGTGTCAGCAGTTGCTCAATTGAGGATAGCATGGACTGCTCGTCCATATGTGCCGTGTCATGGCCAGCGATGCTGAACAACATCAATGCATACGCTGCGCGGATTTGACACATTTGCTCACTATGGCTTCTGAAACCTTTCCCAGTAGTCCATCACCCCATCTCTGATGGTTTTATGGAATAAATCCTTCCTTTCGTCCCTCCCCATGCGCACTTGCAGAAACTTGTGCCTTCGGGCATCCAGAGGCTTGTCCGAACGCGCTACAAGGTCAAGGACATTTTGCTTCCGTATCTCTTGTGGATCAGAGGAGTACAGAGACTTTACAGGTGATGCCGGTGAGGGTGACGCCACGAGCAGGCGGATGAACAGCGAAAGAGCGGCTAGGAGGAGAATACGGATGAGGCTGCGACGGCGCAGGGCGAAGGCCATGAGTCGTCTCACAGTTGCCTCGACTTGAGCACGACCACCGAGCGCGGCAGATGTGCGAAGGGGGAGGGGAGGAGGCGACGGTGAAAAGAAAGTCCAGCAAATTAGATGATCCAGCTCAGCGACCACCCAAGCCCCGCCACAGTTTGCCATTCTCGGCAACTCATCCTTGAATCTGATCGTGAGTTTGTGATCTCGCGGTGGCCACAAATCATAAATTGTCACTTCCAGCAAATACCCAATTGTGACATTCGAGCTCCCTGTATAGTAGTATCTGTATGTACTAAATGCATAATGATAATCGCTGGATACATACTAGACATTAGCTATAGAGATTACGCAACCCACATCAAGGTAGTTCTGCCGAGTCGCCTCAGGCCTTCTCCGTTACCTTCTCCCGGTCCTCCTTCTCGTTCCGAACCCTTTAAACGTAGCACCATCATCTGAATCGTCATCCACAACAACAGCTGGGGTCCGTTTCCTAGAACTAGCTGCCCTTGATGGTTGTCGCACGGAAGAATCAGGAGATCTTGCCCCTGTTATCGATCGCGACGTAAGTTCTCCGTCAAAATCGTCAAAATCGTCGACCACTTCGCGAAGCGCGTTGGTGGATGGAGAAGGCGGTTCGTGTTCTTGCTCGTCATCCTCTTCTGACTCGATGAAAAGCGGCTGACTCTTCGTGCGTCGCTGTGTAGGGGCGGATCGACTGTCCGGAGCGTTCTTAGCCGGCTGGGCAACATTCTCGTCATCGTCGGAGCCATTTACTAGAACCACTTTGCCCCTTCCTCTGCTGTGCGTTTGTTTCGATGACGTTTTGCTGTGCTGCGCACCCTTGTTCTTACGAACATCCTCTTGCAATTGCGATTGCGTCTGCGTGAACTGGGACCGCGACTGGGTGGATCCTCCCCAATACTCTATGATATCGTTCAGCGTGCAAGTCACGCCAGAATATTCAAACATACGCACGTGTGCTTGCCCCGAAGTCATTGTTTTCTTCAGCAAATAGCTCAATGGCATGCCTCCTGCCCGGCAAGGCTTTCTGCTTATGACTGAGCAAATTATCCAAATATGACAGCCGATCTACACCTACCTTCTTGAACTTTTTGAAATCCGGTCTTCCTTCCCAGTCCATTCGCTGTCCGTTCACCCTCAAGACAGGCTGCTCCTTATCTTTCTTGAAGGCATCATACTCCGCAATCACCATAAAATTGCCTCTCATATCGCCATCGTCACCGAAGTCGTCTAATACCGCCCACTCATCCCGCTGGCGGTCCTGCTGCAGATCGGGCTTCGAGATGCGCAGGTTGTTGAACTCCTTGTCGAAGTCGTCCTCGGTCTTCTTTCCGCGCTTGGTCGATGCAACAGCCTTGAGGAACGCCTGATCGATATCTGGCTTGTCAGGCGCAGCGCCGGAGACCTTTTTATTGAAATTGACGACCGTCGACGGCGGCTTCGATGCAGATCGTGCTGAGGACTCTGCTGCGGATCTATCTGTGGACGGCTGCACCGCATTCTGCCCTTCCACGGCCCGTCTCTTTGCCCGGCTCTGGGTATCACCGGCCATTTCAACATCCTCATCTACGTTCAAAGGTTTTCGCTTCAAATGCTGGTTTTGAGTGAATGGCAGCTCCGTGCTTCCCCCGGCAGTGTTCATACTTCCCTCCTCCTCCTCCTCAGCCAACGTGGCGAGCTGAGTTGCTGCCAGACGCGACCGAGGGATAACCTGTGTTGCCCCGCTCTCGCTCTGAGTCACGCTCTCAGGCTGACTGCTGATGTCGCTTCCCGATTGTAAGGCAGACTGCGTCGCCTTGTCAGGGTCGCTGGCTTCGAACAAGGCCTTGAACTTCTTCAGAGGAGGCTCTTGCATGTCCAGCCGTGGTACATCTTCTGCGAAACTGAATAGTTGACTGGGAGGTGGCTGCATTGTCCCAACGCGTCGTTTCAGACGAGTTCGCATGGTTGACTGCTGCATTACATAACAAACATGAGCCGACTTCGACTGATCCTACGTTAGAGGCTTACGGAAGGTTCAAGGCCGCTCATTTGTGGCTGTATTTGGTTCTGATCTTGCGAGGTTGTAGTCATTAACCCGAAAAAAGGCTCTCCTTCCAGATCCACTGTAGGATCATCGATACCGATTATAGGAGTCTTGACTTTTGCCGCTCTCCGCACTAGATTCTACAAGGACATTGAATAATTTAATAGAGAGAACTATCGAAGAACAGCCTCCACTCACTCTGCGCGGTTTCTCGTCATCATTGCGTGGCTGAGATTCCGCCAGAGCAACTCTAGTGGCTTCAGCTGCAGGGGCGCGCGGCTCTTCTGAAGGGGCACGGGACGAGGCTCGTGAGGTCGCTCGGCGTGTCAATCTTGGCCTTGGACCGACCTCAACCACATCCGGTGGTATGGACGGCTCTTCGGGATGTGTATTGACCACGACATCTGGAAGTGGGGAAGGCGTAATACGACCATCTATGAGTGCAGCTGTGAGAAGTGTGTCGTGGTATCAAGAATCGCGTCCTCTTACCGCGTTCTGCCAGACTATATGAGTCTATATAGGACACGTCCGCATGGACAACAGCCTCGACGATTTTTGACGGAGAGAGCGGGTATAGGTTAAAACTGTAGGATCTCAATGTCTGCGTTGGGGGCATGGAATGGGATAACAGGACTGACCTCTTTGCTTCTCGCACCAGATTCTGCCACCCATCCTCACCCACGGCTGGGGTGATCAGACTGGACTCCCCGACTATGACTGATGTAGACTCCCTACTCTCGCATTTAGCTAGGAGCCTGTGAAGAGCCCCACTACCGCCCTCAACGGAGAAACACTCATACTCTCCCTCTCCGCGCCGGACAAGATCCCTCATTGCTTCCTGCACTTCCCTCCCCTTCTCTCCCATGAAGACAAATCGATAGCCCCTGAATATACCCACCCTGGCCTCATTCTCAACCCACATCGCGAATGACTTCAGATCTCCGGGCAGTGCGGGTGAAAACGTAGGACGGAACTTCGCAGGCTCAGGGAGGGAGAACGAGCGTTCGAGCGAGGAAAGCTCGCCTTCGTCAGAGGATCCCAGTTGCAGCACCTCTTTCAGCCACTCGGGCTTGACGATGTGGGCTACGCTGATCAAGGACGTCGCCAAATCCGGGGAGAGCGTATACGTAGACGCAAGATGATGTGTGATTCCTTGCTGCTGTGCGTGGACCAAGCCGACTCCTTTTGTTCACGATCAGTAAGAAACATGGCATGAGAAACGAGCTCCTGACCTAGAGTAGCGCAAGCTTGCAACGAGAATGAAGGCATTCCCTTCATGGACGGTGCATAGCAACACACCTTCACCCATTCAGCCCTGTTCATGAGTATAAACGAGTTGTAGGTACGAGCCCCGAAGTGAAGAGAGGACGAACGGACTTCACGGCAACACCGGTCACCAAGTTCACTGTGTCTCTGTCCTCGAGCTCCACCTCTTCGCCTGCGTTGATGATCTTGACCTCTTCTTGCCCCCTCACGACTCTGTTGATCTTGCGCGAGACAGATTTCTTGTCGCCTGCCGGAATAGAGAAGAACAACGTGGGTCGGAAGACTGGGTTGCTCTTCTCAGGAATCAGCAGCGCCAGTGACAGCCTATGGATTAGACAGCTCTCTAACAAGATACATACCGCATCGTCTTCAGTGCATTCCGCGACACGAAATGCGCAATGGTCGCGAGAAATCTTCTTGTGTTTGACTATCAGGGTCGCCGGGTCTTCCTTGCGTCCCACAATATACCTGCTGCCAGCCTTCAATAATTTCCGTTCTACGAGAAAGTAATTGGCATTCTGTAGGTATATAAACTGGAGGCCCATCACTCACTGGTAGGAGCATGTTTGTGGTCGACATCTTCGATATCAAAGGGGCCTGTGAGTACCCACATACCGAGGTGGCGATGGCCGCGCAAAGGTTGATGTTGAACGCGAAGACGCGTCGCTGTCACGGTTTTTCCGCGCCACAAGTCTCAAGCGCCCACGGACCATTATTTATCCACCTAAGTTACCCTATATAGAGTGTACCACTACGCCTCCACGTGTATATCCTAGTATACCCACGCCACCCGGACAACCCTCGGACATGCATCAGTCACGTGACCCTACGTCATAAGTGACATCATAGGCCTGGACTACATAGACACTCCTAGACTTAGACGGACTCCACTAGGCCTGAGCACGCCATAGCACGCCATAATGATGTATTATTAGTAACCTGGGGTACGCAGGGTCTTACACCCGGTACCAGGGGTCTGGCCCCTCCTGTATATATACCCGCTCGAGCTGAGGCCTACCCCTCAGTTTCGAGTTGGTCTTTACTCCTCCACTTAAGCTAAAGATCCCTGACGGGATAGGCGAGAGCGGACCCGGGAGTTCTTGAGATCCATCACATAACTCGAAACTACTCTCTTAGATCTGTGGGCACCGGTCGACGCCTCAGATTGTATACCTCTGTCGATCAACTCCATCCTCATCGTGCCCAGTCAGGGCTTCTTCCCACATTCCTCAGGCTTAGCTGCGCCCTGCTGAACCTCTTCGGTGAAGCAAATACGCGGATTGTTAGTCAGGATACATAGGCCCTAAACCAGCCTCCTGCGAAAGTGGGCGAAATACTACAGTCCCAAATCTTGCCGCGACCCCAGGCGTAAGGGGACTTGCCAGTTGAAACCTAGTGGTTAAAACCGCATTAGGGCTGTCAAGAAGGGCCAGGAGTGCCTGTTGACATCAGCACCGCTAGGAGCAAGGGACGCAGTACTCCTTAAAAGGGTACCACTATCATTGTCTAATCCGTCGGGGACCCTGTCTGGTCTGGCTACTGTCAGGCCCATAGACCCCGTAGAGGCGTGACCTTGAAGCGTGGGGCTGCTAGTCCATATAAACTATCCTCGGCCTAGCTGCCGTGCTAAACGGAGGATTTATCCTCTAACGTCACCATCCTAGCCACCAGGTCTAGGGGTAGCAGACGTAACAACCGCAGACAAGGGAGAACTTGCGGGAGGAACGGGTCACCTTTGAAAAGACTCTGAAGCTGTAAATCAGCAACTCTTCTGGACCGCTTCGGCGAGACCTGCACAACCTCGAGTAGCGAGGGAAAAAACCTACTTGCTCAGTGCTAAAGCGGCACCAGACGCGTATTCAACCCCTGCGCAGTTCTGACTTACTTAGGGGTTTAGTTACCAATACATACGTAGACAAATAGTCGTTTGGTGCGGGACGAACTCTCGGAAAGCTCTGCTGGAACGGCAGGTGGACCAAGGTTACACCCCTTCAGAGGTAGTTGGACACTGGTGGTGAAATAATTAAAGACCACAAAGACCCCTCTGCGACTGCGAACTGCACCATTCAGGACTCCGTAGTAACTAGACCTACTAGGAGTAGCAGGACTCTAAAGCTGCGTCTGGGTCATTACGAGGCCTAGTGAAGAACCACTCATCAAAGCACGCGAGTAGATTACAACATCGAATGCAAAGGTTCTCGTTGGAAGGTTACACATCCATATACACCGTATCTCCAGGGCCGATAGCGTGGGATCAAGTATACGAGCATATCAGTGTCATATTCCGGGCAGACTTCATTTACCAACCTCACGTCGCCCAAGCTCGTTTCATTCTCTACCGCTACCAAGTCGTCATCGACTATTACGAAAGGCTCGAATACCAGCCACATCGTATAGTTCAAGAAGCTCCCCGACAGCTCGAACCAGTCGAAGACGACCAGGAGCTATATCATCTCCTATTCGACGACGAATACGGTATCTCCTCCGACGAAGAAGAACCTTTCTGAACAGGTCGTCAAAACCCCGACCAGGTACCAACACCGAAGATGGCCGCACTCGAACAATCCGAACATTCCGTAGAAGGACACTTGAATCCTGAAGGTCCGGATCCTAGGGCATCCACTCCGTCATCATTCAATAACACCAACATCCTCGCTCCCACTCCTCGATACTTCATGACACCAGCAATGCTAGAAGCGCTCCCCAGAAGAAGAGGGCCTTCGGCAAGGCTGGCAGATGAATTCGCCGTCCTGTACCCAAACGAACCAAGGACAGGGAGACGCTTTCATCAATGGGAGTACGATATCCGAGCTCGAGATCATTCTGAAGAAGATCGACAGCGATATCGAACGCAACCAATAGATGTGGTAGCAAGACACGGAGGGGCGGCAAGGGGACAGGACTACGTCTGGTCAAGCCACGCTTCAGGAACTCCGCCAGGATATGAGCGATACAGGCTCCCCGACAATAGGCAGAGTTATCACCTGGCACGACCTGGACTTCCCCCACCGACAGAGGAGACCCCCGGATTTTGGACTCAACCTGTCGATATGCGACGAGCCTACCAACATCTCCAGGCGGACTACGATCGCCTGCGGGGCAGGCTCGACACAGCCCTGAGGGAACTAACGGAGGCACGGGAAGGACGCCTGGCGGTCGAAGCAACCCGAGATCGCCTCATGAGGCAGATCGGCGAGCAGACGGCCGGAGCAACGGAGCGTGGTAACCAGCTTCACAAACTGACAAAGGAGCTGGAAGACTTCAAAAGGGCGCTCCGGTCCAGTGAAGAGAGGGCAAAGGGTCTGGAAGAAATCAACAAGACCCAAGAAGCCCGCATCCAAATACTGGAATCCCTGAGGCGTCCGCCCCCACCTTCTCCTATACGATCGCCCAAGAAACCGGTCGATAAGGGCAAAAGGAGACAGGATCCTGGACAACAGGACATTCGGGATTGGGTAAAGGGAGTCAGCGGACCCGCCGGCCCTAGCGGACTCAAGCCGGCACACCAGGCAAACCCTGAGCAGCCGTCCGGTAGGGTGCAGACGCCCCCAATGTCCCCGGCACACTCCTACGAGGGAGACCAAGACGACGAGTTGGCGGGAGCACATTACGCATTCCCACCGGAGCAATCGGTCCCTCCACCAGATCGGGATCGACGCTCCGCTGCTCCGCCACCAGCATCCTCGGACGAAGTACACCGGAAATCATTCCGAGGACCAAAGGTCAACCTCCCGGAGCCATTCGATGGCACCAAGGCAAAGGCAAAGGCATGGCTTGTCGATGTAATGAATTACATCGTCATGAAACTCAGCGAGTTCGAAGACGAGCAAAGTAAAATTCGCTGGGCAATGTCTTATATTCGAGGACCCCAAATCGATCACTGGAAGGCCTCCCTGTTGGAAAGGATGATGGGAGGTCCCCCGGTGTATGCCACGCTCCAGGACTTCATTGCGGACTTCAAGAAAATGTATTACCCCGCAAACCCGGAGCTAGAAGGTCAACGGATGCTGCGAAACATGCAGCAAAGGTACAAGCCTTGGGAGGAATTCAAAGCCGAATGGGAACATTGGGTCAAGGTCTCAGGGTACAAGGATGAGCAACTGCTGCTCCAACTGCTTAGGACGGCCATGAGAAAAGAACTCTGCGACAGAGTATGGTCGTCTGAAGGGATTAGTCGAGACGTCAACAGCTACAGCCTGTGGAAACAGGTTGCGGCCCGGCTAGACCTCCAACAACAGCAGCAGTGGGCATCCACCTTTGAGGACCGAAAGGGCAAGGGGAAAGCCAAGGACTCCAAAACCCGCCAAGTCCACCAAGAAGAAGGTTCTACAACGGTAACGGCAAACGCAGTCAGGACAACGGGAAGGGCGCCCATCAAAAACGTCGATGAGGCAGGAAAGGCGGTGCCACACAAGGAAATGGTAGGCGTCGAAAATGAACACGACAAGCACCGGAAGTGTGGTACATGCGGAAAGGAAAGGTCAGAGAAGGGGTCGTGCACGGATATATGGCACACCCATTACTACGACGGGAAGGCGCAGTGCTGGCGCAAAAAGGATGCCCAGCCTGCAGCTCGGGCCAGTACGGTAGAAGAAACTGAGGCCGTACGAGCATTTAAGGCGGCCATTGTGGCCAACCCCGCTCTGCTCAACCAGGCGGGTTTTCAATTCGGCAAGGCTTAAGTACGCAAGTCTTGCAGGACTCTCGACTCGAATCGGACATTTCTGTTTCCCCGACCAGTAACGTGCATTCCTCGGTGGTGGAGGCCCAAAAGCCTGAGAAGCGCCCTGGTTTACACGGGTCACCCCTGACCATTAACGGCCATTCCATGGTTACGGAGGTCGCGAGACCTGAGAAGGACCATGGTTTAGACGGGTCACCAAAAGGTAGGTCCCCAGGGAGAGTCGAGCTGATGGTGGTGGAGGCAAAGCCTGAGAAGCGCCATCAAGCCGTACCTGAAAACACCCTGGAGGGATGTGGGCAGGAGGGTCTAAGCTCAGGAAAGAGAAAATTCAGTACCCCTGATGCAGACGACAGCACACCACCACTCCCTAGTGGATCTCGATTTTCTATTCTTTCCACTCTCAACTGTACTTCTAGCACTACGCCGGACAATATGGGTACAAGTAGTGGTGCCCACTTTAATGTAACAGTAGTAGGAGCAAAAACGGGGTCTCGGGATGACGAGACCTTAGCGGTGCCTGATCGAGCTCGGCCGGATCAAGAAGCATCGGTGCTTAATTCCGTGAATAGCTCAATTTCTAACATTTCTTCAGTTCAGGATAGTCTGCGAGTGGAAGCTTCGACATCGGCAAGGCGTACACCGAAGAAGAAGGCACAGAAAACCACTTTGCGTGTATTTTTAGACCACCCGCAAGCCATCGTACCAACCTGTCAAACAGAAGGCGCAGCAGGGTACGATCTGCATTCAGCGGAGGAAGTGATCATTCCCGGACATTCCCGTCTCCTCGTAGATACCGGCCTGAAGTTGATGATACCCAGCGGATGCTACGGACGCATCGCTCCACGCTCAGGTTTGGCTGTAAAACATGGAATAGATGTAGGAGCCGGAGTAGTAGACTCAGACTATGTCGGTCGGGTCAAAATACTCCTAATCAATACCCTTGATACCCCGTTCCAGATTGAGTATGGGGACCGAGTCGCCCAGCTAATCTTGGAACGAAACAATACCCCAATCACCGAAGTCGTAACGGAAATAGCAGAAACAGCAAGAGGGACTGCTGGCTTCGAATCGACCGGTACTAAGCTGCGAGGACAATTCAACGTTCGAGCAGTACGACGACATCGCCAGATCGATATACCCGTAACAATAGAAGTTGGGGATAGGAATATACCCACCAAAGCCCTTCTGGATTCAGGTTGTACCGGATGTTGTATCGACGAACAATTTGTATCTAAGTTTCAGATACCTAAGATACCATTCGATCGACCACTCCGAGTATTCAACGCGGATGGGAGATGGGACCCCCAACCGAGATGGCGATATGACCCATTATGTATCACTAGACATAGTTATCCAAGGCCATAGAGAGCGCCGATCGTTCAATGTGACTACCCTTTCGGACCACGACATGTTCCTTGGGTTCGATTGATTAGAAGATCACAACCCTGACATTGACTGGGCTAAACGCACGCTTCGCTTCACGCGTTGTAACTGCGGGGAGCTTAAGTTGGAAGATGGGGACAAGGTGTTGGCATTGGACAGTGACTACATTCGGAAACAATTCTCCGAATACGAAAACGTACGAGCCACCAAGGCCACCGACCTGACCATCGCTCAAGGCAAAAGTACTAAAGCCAAGAGCATGCAAGAGGTTGTTCCAGAAGAATACTGGGATTACAAGGAAGTCTTCGAGGAAGCTGAATTCGATCAGCTACCAGAACGCAGAGTATGGGATCATGCCATAGAATTAGTAGATGGCGCGAAACCCTTCTGTGGAAAGGTATATCCAATGAGCGTAAAAGAACAAGAAGCTCTGGATATATTCCTCGAAGAAAACCTTAAGACTGGCCGCATACGACAGTCTAAATCCCCCTGGGGCGCCCCCTTCTTCTTTGTCAAGAAAAAGGATGGCAAGTTAAGGCCGGTACAGGACTATAGACGGCTCAATGAAGTAACGAAGAAAAATAAATACCCGCTCCCTCTGATCAATGATTTATTCGACCGGCTTAAGGGAGCCCGGTACTACTCTAAGCTCGACATCCGGTGGGGCTATAATAACATAAGGATCAAGGAAGGGGATGAGGAAAAGGCCGTGTTCGTCACGAACCGAGGTCTATTCGAACCTCTAGTGATGTTCTTCGGACTCACTAATTCACCATCGACGTTCCAAATGATGATGAATGATATCTTTCACGATCTAATCCTCACTGGAAAAGTTATGGTATATCTGGACGATATCCTAATATTCACCAAGGACATGGAGGAACATCGCCAGGTTGTAAAACAAGTACTTGAAATACTCTGGGAACACAAGTTGACGTGTAAACCTGAAAAGTGCGAGTTCCATGTTGAAGAAACCGAGTACCTAGGTCACATCATTGGCCATGGGAAACTTCGCATGGACCCTGCAAAGGTTGCTGGCATTGCAGAATGGCCAGAACCCAGGTCCAAGAAGGACGTTCAACAGTTCCTCGGATTTTGTAACTATTATAGACGTTTCGTGAAGGGCTTCGGCTCCTTGGCCAAGCCTCTTACGGACCTTATGGGCAACCGAGAATGGGAATGGACGGACACTGAAAGGAGTGCCTTCCAAGGTCTCAAGGACCTCCTTACATCGGCCCCAATTGTACACATACCTACGGACGAGGACCCATTTATGGTAGAAGTAGATGCTTCACAATTCGCCCTTGGGGCAGTTCTCATGCAGAAGCAAGATAATCTTTGGGTACCAGTATCATATTACAGTAGGTCGTTCAAAGACGCTGAGAAGAACTATCAAGTGTACGATAGAGAACTTCTCGCTATTGTAGATTGTCTAGAGCAATGGCGACACTACTTAATACATGCTAAACATACTGTACAGATCTTCACTGATCACCTTAATCTGACATATTTTAGGAAACCTCAGAAAATCAACCCCCGCCAAGCACGATGGATGTCCTTCCTCGCAGAATACGACTTCGAACTCCATCATATCCCAGGCAAGAAAAACAGTGCAGCGGATGCTCTTAGCAGACGACCAGACTATGACGACGGTATGGATCACTTGGATAATCAGGTCGTATTACCTGCCGAGTTGTTCCGAAGTACCAAAGTTGTGGGGACGGACGCTATCCGCGATCTCTGCGCCATACATTCATCCGAATATTTATTATGGAAAACTTTGCCTCAAAAAGAGCTCGAGTCAGCCGAGGACGGCACACTCTGGAGGAGGGGTGAAATTCTCATAATTCCAAATAACCAAGAAATAATCGGCAAAGTGATACAGTCCCACCACGATGCCGCATTCATGGGACACCCAGGAATAGAAAGGACCATGGAACTAATCAAGCGATCGTACTGGTGGCCGGAAATGATCAAGGATGTTACGGCGTATGTGAAAGGTTGTGGGACCTGTCAAAAGGCCAAACCTAACCGCCAACATCGATCAGCACCATTAGAGCCAAACCCAGTTCCAGATCATAACTGGCAGTACATCTCCACGGACCTTATTGTAAAACTACCAACTGTAGACGGGTACGACTCCATCCTTGTATTTGTAGACTTGAAGTCGAAAGACTTCATCGCCATACCCTGCACGGAGTCGATTAACTCGAAGGACTATGCAAACTTGTATATTAAGCATGTAATGTCAGCACACGGACTAGCAGAAAGGATATGGTCCGACAGGGGACCACAGTTCGTATCCTCGTTTACTAAGGATGTATACCAACAGTTGGGCATCCAGGGAAATCCTTCTACTGCCTACCACCCTCAGACGGATGGGCAGACTGAACGGATGAACCAGGAAATAGAAACCTACCTGAGGATATATACTTCCTATAGACAGGACGACTGGCCTTCCAAGATACCCCTCGCTATGTTCGCATACCGAAACCATAGACAAGCAAGCACCGGCTATACCCCATTTTACCTTACGCACGGATACCATCCCTACACGGGAGTCGAAACCAGGAAAGAACCCCGTAACCAATCGGCCGAAGAATGGACGAAAGAGATGGAGGAACTTTCCAAGGACGCAACTAATCACCTTACCAAAGCAAAAGGTATAATGAAAAAGTACCATGATGGCAAATACCCAGACCATGCGGCCTATACCAAGGGTGATCTGGTACTATTAGAAGGAACTAATATTACAACTACTCGACCGAGCAAGAAGCTGGACGATAAACGTTACGGACCATTTAGTATAGTAGAAAAGGTCGGGAAGTCGGCATTCAGACTCAAGCTACCAACTGCTTGGCGTCATATACACCCCGTCTTTCACGAATCCCTATTAATACCCTACCACCCCGCGCAATTTAGTGTACAAAAGGACGATACTACTATACCCGTTCCGGAAGGCGAATCCCCTACCATTAGCCAAATCCTCGACAGTAAAAAGTCCAAGACTGGACTATTATACCTGGTCAAATGGAAAGGGAAGGACGACACCGAGAACACCTGGATACCCCGCTCTACAATAGCCAAGGATTACATCCTACTACTTAATAACTTCCATAAATTACATCTCAAGGTGCCCAAACCGCCTAATCTCCTCACTATACCCGGTGGTCAAAAGATCTGCGCCCAAGAAGACGAAGCAAGCGACGATGAACCTGACAGTAAGGGAGGAAAGATGACGGAAGAGGAAGAAGAAGAGTGGAAGGAAAAGATCTACTGGGATCACAAAATGATACGATGGTACAAACGCAAGTTCCAAGCCCATGTTGTACTTCACGTACCCCTCGATACCCCTATAGGACTCGAAATAGGGCTGCCCGAGAAGTTCGACATCGTTTGCATTTGGCTAGCAAACCCAGACCACTATATTCACACGGTCCTGTTCGTTGGAACCCCCAAGTCGCGTAACCATCTATTTGTATACCCCGTCAACGCCCAGTGGATCGTAGAGGAAGGAAAGGTTCAGTGCCCGGAGCGCACTCACGGCTACTACTACCTCGACGATGCGCCAATACCCTGGCAACGTATGCGTTTCAAAGATACCCTGGTGAGGGAAGAAGACGTCTCCAATTATACCACATATGACCCGGAGCGAATTCGGACACCGATACCCAAAACTAAATGGAACTACAAGCAGTACACCCACGCATCTACGATTAGAATTCAAGCCTCGTGAGGACACTTCGGCCTGGAGGGGGGGTACTGTCATGGTTTTTCCGCGCCACAAGTCTCAAGCGCCCACGGACCATTATTTATCCACCTAAGTTACCCTATATAGAGTGTACCACTACGCCTCCACGTGTATATCCTAGTATACCCACGCCACCCGGACAACCCTCGGACATGCATCAGTCACGTGACCCTACGTCATAAGTGACATCATAGGCCTGGACTACATAGACACTCCTAGACTTAGACGGACTCCACTAGGCCTGAGCACGCCATAGCACGCCATAATGATGTATTATTAGTAACCTGGGGTACGCAGGGTCTTACACCCGGTACCAGGGGTCTGGCCCCTCCTGTATATATACCCGCTCGAGCTGAGGCCTACCCCTCAGTTTCGAGTTGGTCTTTACTCCTCCACTTAAGCTAAAGATCCCTGACGGGATAGGCGAGAGCGGACCCGGGAGTTCTTGAGATCCATCACAGTCGCGCGGCGCGTCTATGTAGTACTCACTGAAGTGACACTACCATCCTCGCCGTTCACACCGTGTAAAAGTACTAGTAATAGACAACAATCATATTGTATCATTACAGCAAACTTAGAGGAGCGCACAAGTATTCCTTCTTCATTACACAAGAGCCAAGGATTTCAATACGTATGGAACAATAATGATACAAACTTCTGTTACCGTACCGTCTCGCGAGAACTACTTCCGACCACGATGCCTCTATGACGTCGCATTGGCAGGTGCTGCTTGCTGCATAGGGGAGGGATCCGGCTCAGCAGGTGCAGGAGAGGGAGCCGCATTGGCTGCAGTGGGGGTAGCATAACCTGTCTGCCATGACTGCTGGCTCTGGCCATGCAGATGGTACGGCACCGTCTGGCTTATCGGCGGGCGCGCAACGGAAGGCGCAGGAAGAATGGCTTTGGGACCCATATATGGCCTTTGCCACTGCAAGGAACGAAGTTGGGAGGGTTTTAACTGTTGAACCTGTGGCTGTGGTTCAGGCTCAGATTGAGGCTCAGGCTGCTGAAGTTGCGGTATTGACTGAGACGGCTGCAACTGTTCTGCTTGCTGAGCCAACTGCGCTGGCGAATGTTGCTGTGCTGGCTGCGTCTGCGGCTGCATTTGAAAGTTGTAGCCAGAGTAGGGCTGGTATGTGGAAGGCTGATACGCCGAAGGGGAATATGGGTAACTGACAGCAGTTGACGGCCCAGCTGCTCCGTATTGCGAGCCCGAGTTCGACACGGGATACTGCTGGTATCGCCATGTCGTCGGCTTGTACTGGTAATTGGGCCCGTACGATGGGTATGACGGAGGTGGAGGATAAGCCTGAGACGCAGACGTGGATGGCGCAGGAGATGACATCCCAGATCCTGCGACAGGTGGTGTGGACGTTGAGGCATGCATCTGGTAGCGGTAATCCATGACGGGAGGGGCCGCGGAATAAGAGGGCCAAACGGGCCTGGGTTGAATGGGACGCGGAACGTATTCTAAAAGTGAAGTTTAGCGAAAACATACGTCAAAAACCCATCTCCACACCACTTACGCTCTGGCTCGGCAGCAGGCTCGGCAGGTTTCTGCCCGATCGTCAATCCGTCTGTGTTCCCAAACACCACACTACCCCATTTGAACTCCTTCCTGAAGCCACGGTCCCACAGAACCTCGACAGAGCCTGTCTCCTCAATAACCCGTAGGAGAGAGACCTCGAAGACGCCTGCACTGACACGCAGCTTGATCCGCGACATGGGCGGCAGGGCAAGGAGCTCTTTGCGAATTTTGTCCTGCTTCAGCAGTTTCTTCGCTTCCGCAACGGCCTGCGATTACGTTCAGCAAATGTAAATGCGCACCGTAAATACTGATACATACGGGATTGTGCTGCGAACACAAGACCTGCACCTCTAGTTTGCGAATGAGCTTGAGGACAGTGGGCGCCGAGGGCTCCAGAGAAACAGAAGTAGCATCTGATTGCACATCAATATTGCCCTCCATCGGCACTAGGGCCGCCTGCTCGCCTCCTGTGGGTGCTACCTGATTTGGCTTAGTCGCCGCCGCACCGACCTGAGGAATCAGCAAGACAACTTCCTTTTCCACCTCCCGGAGCTCCTTGTACACGATATTGTGGCTGGCTCCTTCTCTCGCGCAGGAGACGTGGAACGCCTTTGGACACTTGCCCTTCGTGCATTGAATGGGGGCTCCGTGGGCCCTATACCGTGTTCTCGTGCAAGCAGAGCATCTCTGCGACATAAGCAGCAGTTTAGTAGTCTGCTAAAGGCAGCAAAACAAGCAATTTAAGACACGCACTAGGTTCCACCGATCCTTTACAATCCCATCCACACCGAACACCACCCGCTCTTTCGCGCGCGTCCCGTCCTGCCCGACTTCGCCCACTTCCACCTCGTCCACCCACGTCTCTGGAATGACGTTCGCACAGACCTCATGTGCCATCCAGATGGTTTCCGTGCCTGCAGATTCCTGCGCGACCTCATCGTCCGTGCGCCACAAAGGCGGGTCGTGCACACGGAGCAGCTTCTCCTTGTCCATCGAGACACACAAGCAGCACGGGAACGCCTCAGGCTCCTTTGGCTTCGGTGGGAGTTTGAGAGTGACCTTCGCAGGGGCCACCTTCGACTGACTGGCCTGCGATCCCTCTGCGGAAGAGTTGCTCTGCTTCCCCTTCGACGGTCTAGCTGTCTTCGGTTTCTTGAGCTTGCTCGGGCTTTCCGGCGCTTCAGTCTTCCGCTTGCCTTGGGATTTGGATTCCGAGTTCTTTCCAGGCTTCGGCTTTGTCTTGGGGCGGCGAGGCTTGTCAGCTTCGAGCTTAGCACGCTCTTCCTCCTCCCGCTCAAGCAGCAAGCGGTCAACATCGATGCGGACACTGAAAGACACACGTTCGCACAATCATTGTCGGAACAAGTCAGATATACCATACCTGAAGTTGACACAATCGCACGCCTTGGCCTTACGCCCAAGGTCCAACCAACTCTCCAGCGCAAAATTGACGCTCTCTGCACAGTTGAAGCCCAAGTTGAATCCTGCATGGTATCCCATCGGGAACGTGATGACGAACTCCCCCGCACATTGCACTAGCGTATTCGGACGGCATGAGGAGCTTGAAAGGAGTTTCGGCGAAGCAAAAAATGACTTGTGCCGCAAGAACTGAGAGCAATGCGACACGTCCTTCGGAAAATATCCTAAAAGGGTAATCAGCGATATCGCTCACGCGTCACTGCTCAATGATCTTTACCTCGCATCGTCTGCTCCAACGCAGTCGCCCTGGCTTGCGGAACGGCATACCAGTATTTGGGTGCCCCAAAGTGGACGTAGTTGATGCTGAACAAATCCATGTCCTCCACGTGCCAGGCGAACGTAGCCCGCCACATGCCGAAATAGAGGTAGGGCGTGTTTACGCCTGGCAAACCCTTTGACGACGCCGGGAGCAGGCGCGACAGAGCAGACTCGAGGTGAGCTACGTTCCACTCCTTCGTCTCGTCCGTAAACAGCGATCCTGACGTTGAAGGATGCAGTCAGCATGCATCTCTAGGAGCATAGCAGCTGACATACCCTGCATGTCGGCTCCATACCACGCAGGCTTCCCAAGACCACAGTTTCTCCAATAACGTCTCTCAAGTTCCCTGCAAAAGTCTACGGTATAATCAAACGGAGTGGTATTCGGTGGCAGCCAGTCAGAATGTGGGTCAAACGTCTCCAAGAACGCCTTGTCCTTGGCTGCTCGCTCGGCAAGGTTTGCCTCTCTCGCCTCACGCGTCTGCGTGGCACGCTTCCCCTTGGATCTTGGCTTCTCTTCCTCCTCTTCATCGTGCCTGGCATCTTCTCCGGGCTCGTGATGAGGATCTCCGTTATCGGAGAAGCCAATTCTCACGTTTTCATCGACACCGGTGGCCTGAGGTGCTGGCGTCGGTGCGCCAACATTCTCGCCATCAGCAGCGGGCGTGTCGACCGCGGCGACGCTATTTGGCGGCGAGGCGAGCGATTCTCGTCCCTGGTCGTGCGGGTGTGCGAGATAGGGTGAGATCTCTTCCTCCTCTTCCTCCGCCTTGATGGCGTGTTCGGGTTCGGCAGTCTCCGACTCCCTCTTCCTGCGCGCCCTCCGCGTGCGCGGCTTTGCACTCCCGTTCGTCGAGCGTGCATGCAACCCGATGTCGTCGATGCCGGGTGCGCGCATCTCCTCCTTCGCACAAAGCTCGGCCCACTCTCGAACGCTCATTATCCGACGTTTCTCGATGTTCTCCTGTCGGAAGAGCCCGCCACGACCGAGCATGTACTGCTCGATCGGGTTCTTCAGCTTCACCTGCGCTAGCGGCTCGGTCAGCGGCGGCAGCGCATCCGTCCTGCAGCAGGACGCAGTCAACGGTTGCTCTAACAGCAAGGATAGGTGCAACGAACCACTCCTTCGGCGGAATGACCTTTACGATGCCACTCTTCATTCCCCAGCACTCTACCTTGTTCAGGTAGCCTTCAAAGTCCCGGAATTCCTCCATCGTCGGCTTAAATACAGGTATGCCGCGCTGTGCTAGCGGGTCATCCTCCGGGTCGAGCCATGTCCTGCCGTCCGAGTCCGGCGACGGAGGGAGATGTTGCGCGCCATAGAAGTGATCTGGCTGCACGGGGACCTCCGGGGTGGACGAACGCGAGGACATTGACAGTGCCGGAGATGGGGTGCGGGCAGACGCGTTAGACATTGATGTGATATACAGTACTTGTGCTCTCAGAACGCGGCGTACGGAGGCGTGGGTCCGGATAGGATAATGTGGCAATACAGCGGGCTCGCGGTGGATTACAGACCCCCGTACTGGAGCAGGTACACAGCGGGGACGAGCAGAGCAAAGGCAAAAAAACTGAGCGTACGAGAATGGGCGATGGTGGTCGTCGAGACCCGACCTCGTCCTTAATTCTCGCCGCGGTCGCACTGTGCGCCCACGATTTGCTGCCTAATTAGGCAGGTGCCGGCCCTGAACTCACCGCAGTGGCCCTCTGCGGTGGCCAGGGCACGACAAAGCAGTTTTGTGAGATAAATTATAATAATTGCATTGCCATCAGTATATGTGTGAGTAAGCGAATGTACCGTATATTTATAACTACATGCAGCACTGTTACATTAATGCCGTCGTCCATACCGAAGTATCCATCATTGACGAGAACTGAAAAGAAGGCTACTTTTCGTCTGTCCCAAGATAGCACATCCACTCGCTGTCCATTCAGAAGGTAGATACTCTCATCGCGGCCATCCTACCTCGAACCAGAACCAGTGCCAGTGCCCGAGCTCGTACCTCGATAGTAATCTTTGTACGGCGGCGGAAGCTCCTGCACGACCCCGCCATCGCGGTGCTGAATGATGATGTCCGGCTGGGCGTCCGAGTCGCTCATCTCCAGCGAGGTGTACGTCTGTCCCTGCGGCGAGCGTAGCATCGGCATCGACAGCTGGGAGAACGCGAGGTTCGGCAGCTGTGGCGCCCCAAACGCGTCCGACGTGCTCGACGAGGCCTCTTGCTGCTTACGGTTCCGCCGCGAGTTGGGCGATGCAAGTGGCAGGGGCAGCGCGGGCGTCGTCGGCGACCGCTCAAGCACCCTGTTCTCTGCCTGCTGCTCTTCGTATGGCGGCGTGCGCGAAAGTAGGAGGATGCTGGTTGTGGCGGTTGTGGCCGAGTCGGTAGAGTAGTTCTTGACGTGCTTGTACGATCGCACGGACGGCGGGCCCATGTCTGGATCTGGTACCCATCCTGTCGCGCGCGTGTCCTGGCCGTCCCAGATCCCGCGTGCTATGGCCAGCTGCCGTCGCCTGTACAACCAAGCGCCAGTGAGCATGAGGATCAATGCGCCGCCGACGCCGATGACGACGCCAATGATTGTATCTTCACGGCGACGCTTGGCAGCTTCTTCGGCAGCTCGCTCGCGAGCGGCTGCCTCCGCAGCAATTTGAGCTTGTGTTTGTGAGGTGGAGATCAGCCCGACGCAGTCGTTATTTGTCGAGCCGACCGTGTTGATGGTAGAAGTTGCGTAGCCCCATTGGCCGTTGCTGCAAACGGCTTAGCTCGTAGACAAGTGGAAAAGAGAGTAGGCTCACGCATCCACTACAGCAGCTGCAGGATGCAACAGTCAGCTTTCAGCTCCATCAAAAGGCCAAACGAAACGTTACCTAACAGTTGACCGTCAGGATTCGCGCGATCGATGTACGTAAAGACATCGTCATCATTGCCCATCGTCGCATTCGTCATTATGGGTGAGTCCAAAGCTGCCAATACCATTGTATACGGTTTCGTCCCGTTGGTTATTGTGAGGCCCCAGGGTTCGCAGGTAGAAAGAGACGAAGTGAGATTTGGTGTGATGCGCGCGATGTCGGTGGAAGATGAAGAAGAAGGAAGGCAAGAGCTGTTGCTGCCGGCTATGGTAGCGGGCCAGTCTCAGTTGACAATATAGGTGAGATAGGGAGCTTGAGATACCTGTCACATTGTACAGAGTCGGAGAAACGCCCCCAGTGCTGTGATTCGAGTCGACCATTGTTAGCATCAGCATCGATCCTGTAAAGCATTACCATATCAATCCATCAACTGTCGGCTCGAACTTGACAGGCATAAGGCGCACCTTCTCGATGGCCAACCTGCCAATAGAGCTTTGAGGCATCAGGCCCGACCATGCGCGTCGTCGGGACACCTCCCAGCTCGAATGCAATGAGATAGTACGGCGGCACACCCAGCTCCGACGAGTTGCTCGACAGCGACTCGACGACGATGGTCATGTTCTGGCATTCCTCGAGCTCAGTCTCGAGATACTATTCACGTCACCGGACACAGTAGACCATATCCATCAGCCTTGGCACACACGAGCACCGAATAGGACCCGACCCACTGACGTTGTTGCCGAACGTCCACTGAAACGCGTGATACGGTGGCTGCCAGGCGCAGCATCGCAAGACGCAGGCCTGCAGGGCGAGCAGACAGAGGACGAACGATCTGCCGCGGACCGCCATAGCTTATGTTGGAAGCTGGATGGAGGAAAGAAGACGGCCAACTTGGCGAAATTGCTGCAAGAGACGAGGCCGACGGCCCCTTGAAGGGTGGCAGGAGAGAAGAGACGAAAACGCTATCATCCGCGGGACCGGGCACTGATTGATGATATACACGATGTTGCGGCGTTTCATCGCCATCGTCCTAGGCGTTCTGCGGTTGCGGCCATCGCGCTGTCAGGCGGCAACCAGATCCATCGCGCAATGACGAGGTGAGCGGCTGCAAGGAACAAGCTAACCTGGTTCCTCCCGCGACGATGAGATGAGCCCTGCCTCGCCAATAGTCAACTGTGCAGTTGAATGTTAAGCGCCAACATCTGCTGTAAATCTTAGATCTTTTGTAGGCCCGATGCAGTGATCAAAACTGAAGCAAATTCGTTCTCTATATATGCATCCTTACTGAACGTGCCTTGTTATTTCTGCCATTCATGCAGCATTAACTGAACTAGAACTGAGCGCCGTGCGCCGACATTTGCTCAGATTGAAGCAGCATCACCGCCTATTATCGTGCCTGAGTCCTGTTACACTGCCCCCAGGACCTAGCTCCTGCACATTCCCACCCCATGTCAAACCTGTCCATTTCTCATCACCATCTGCTTCCCACTGATACGGCTATCTTCAGGGCATATTGACAACTGGAGGTCCGTCCAAGTCCCTGTTTGCATGATTGATATCATAGTCCACTTTGTTGATCTCAACCGCTATTTCTAAATGTCACCGATAAGAAGAGTATTTGTCACAATGAGGAGACCACAGGGAAACGTTTGCTGTCAACATTGACTCACGACTTCCGGGCTCTTCCCGTTTGTGCCCGTTATCATTTGCTAGTAGAGCTGTCACCATCAACGGTGTTATTTTCCCAGTATAACACCAGAAAACGACAATGTGAAGCCGGTAGCCATATTCGATCAAAGAACGGCGACTCGCCATCCCGTCGTTTGAGCGTTCCGGTCGCCGCCCGCGTTCTGTGCGATATCCCTAATGTCTCGACGTGTTGGAATGCAACTGGACGGTTGGTGACGTTCAGCGGACGTCCGTAGTTGGTGTAGAGGTGCGGCTCGAAACCTTCATTCACGGCAGGGCATCGTTCCTGGTGGTATGCTCCCGGACCGTGGTCTGTCGCCCGCGGGATATGTCGGATCAACTTGTGCGAGCAATCTGCAGGGAGACTAAGCCGTATCAGCGTCCACGACATCCAGTACCAGCGTAAATCTCACCGTCTAGAGAGATACGGCCTGCGGTGCCCGTAGGACCTCATGAGTTAAACAGAGCCAATCGATCTTCCTTCTTGCCAGGCAATATATCCACGTCCAGCGAGCATTCTCCACGAAGCTCCATCTCGAGCTCCTTCAGCTGCGACAAGAATCCCTCATTCGGACACACAGCCGGCCTCGCCTTGACAATCAATCCCAGCGCGTCCTTCAGCGACAGCCCACACCTTGTCATCAAATACGCAGCGACGACCGTCGGCGAGCGGGATACCGCCGCCGAGCAATGCACGAGGATTTTGCCCGCTCTCGCTGAGTCGATGACGGCGCTCGCCAGCCCGATAATCTTGTCGATGGATGCGGTTGGGCTGTCTGTCAGCGGCAGACGGTGGTACGAGACGGACGCCACCTTCGCTGTCGGGGTAGAGCCGATGCTAAGGACGTGCGTGATGCCATGAGCGGTGATAAATGCGGCTGAGCTGGACGTGCGGGGACCTAGGTAGAGAAATGGAGGGTAAATGAGGCTCGCTGCATCTCCCTGCTTTGTCGCTTTCGACTTTGGGGCCATAAGGAATGTCGTGAAGCTTGAGCTTGGATTGTTACGTTGCGGTTTCAACTTGAAACGCTACGCCACAATCAGTCAGGACTGAGAGATATGTGAACGCTCACCGTCGATTACGTAAAGCGCGTCGACGCGCGTACGCGTGCTCGAATAGCGCTCGAGTCTGGCGCAAGCTTACGACCGCGTCCACAGCTCTTCTCTCCTCAAGCCCGTCTTACTCTCACCATGGACCACTTTCCAACGAACTGGGGACGTCCGGTGTGTGCTATGTCTGCCTTGCACTGAAGAAGGTGCTGATAGTAGATGACTCGCAGAGAAACGAAATGTACGACCAGTACAACACGTTCCCGCTGCACCATCGCCCATCGCACCACAAGGATGCATTCGCAGATGGCGTGCAACATACTCAGTGAGACATTGTGGCCTTATTGAGAGTCTGCTTCTTTCTGATCGACGCACAGGCAGCCCATCGTTACTGGCACCAGTGTCCTCGCTATCCGTTACAAGGATGGCATCATGATGGCTGCCGACAACCTCGGTCAGTTTTCGCCAACAACGTCCCACCCCGACAATCCTAATGAGCACTTTATATATAGCATCTTACGGTTCGCTCGCCCGCTTCAGAAACATCCAACGTCTGCACCCGGTGGGCTCGTCCACCGTCGTCGGGGCATCCGGAGACATGTCGGACTTCCAGTATATTCAGCACACTCTCGATGAGCTCATGGTCGAGGAATTCACCTACGGCGACGGGCACGAGCTCGGTCCTGCCGAGGTGCACGAATACCTCTCGCGCGTCATGTATGGCCGCCGCTCCAAGATGGACCCGCTCTGGAATGCATTGCTCGTGGGTGGAATCCAGGATGGCAAGCCGTGAGTGCCATGTTGCGATTTCTTGGGTGATACCTTACTGGAGGGCTGTTGCATGGCAGATACCTGGCATTCGTTGATCTGCTCGGCACGACGTATTCCGCGCCCTCGATTGCCACTGGCTACGGCGCACACATCGCCATTCCCCTCCTCCGTACCTCTGTTGATCCCAACCCAGACGCCATCACAGAAGATCAAGGACGCAAGATTCTGGATGACTGTATGCGCGTGCTCTACTATCGTGATGCGCGCAGCATAGACAAGGTACATCGCGGGCCGCACAGCTGCATTCATCTATCGCCTGACATCGTTCTCACTATGCCTTCTACAGTACCAAGTCGCTACCGTCACCTCAGCTGGAGTGTCCATCTCGGAACCCCAGAAGCTTACCACCGAGTGGAGCTTCGCAGAGCAGATTCGAGGCTATGGCGCTCAGACGCAGTGATTTCAGGCCGACGACAGGAGCTGTATATAATTATGGACAGATGCGGAGAGCGAGGCATGTACGTCGTTGTGTCTGGATATTGTGATGCTTACGCGCGATCTTCAACCTCGAGTGAACACCTATTGGTGATTGCATACGGCAACTTCGTCGAAGGAAATGGCGTGGTCGACATGTCGGATGTCGCACTTGCTTGGTGAAAGCTCCCGTTATTTCCGATCTATGAGCTCGCGGCTCAGCGTTGGCCATTCATCAACATGAATCACATGCAAGCCACGTTTCGCTTCGTCCAAGTCACGAAACGCGACGCTTCCATGAGTTCACGCTATGTAGTTTAACGGGCTTTATGCAATATCCAACTTACCGCACACGCTTGCATTTCGCACTGCTTCTATCCTACAGCATGCTATCGACTGATACAGCGAGATACAACGAGATTGAAGGCTTGAACTTAGGCATGCACATTCTGCTATTTGCATGCCACTAAGCCATGTCACAGACAAGGCATAGTAGTATTGGCCTTGGAGGGACATCCGGATCTCTCACACGCTTCGGTGGGTAAGCTGCGCCTTCTCCAACTCAAGCCATACACAGTGATTCTTGCTCCTCCTTGCAACTCTTCCTCCGCCCCTTAGTGCCGGACAGGCTTATTCCTCGCATGCTCATGAAAATTGTCAGCACTTGCAGGCTGACGACCGCATCCTAGTTCCACGGCATGATGCCTAGGCGCACGCGTGAGCCCACTGTATCCTGCAGGACGTTCGACCACTGTCCCCTTATACTCTCACCTTTCTTGCTTTGTCGACGCGTTCTGCTGATCAGACGGCATCCTGGCCCCAAGGGCGAACCTGGCAGAATATCCATCAGAATTGTGGAGGACGACTCCTTCGAGCACAGCTTACCCCGACGCACCTCGCGACTCTGCAGGCAGCCCAATTCGCGACGTAGGAACCTTCGTCCTCAGGGATTGCTCCAAATTATCTTTGTTCTCCTTCGCGCGATGCTGGACGAACGCATGGCAGGTTATCACATCGTTGTGCATCCGAACCTGTCGATGACGGATTTCCGGAAAGCGGGTCCAGCTGTGGAAGATAATGTAGGTTGACTCGGTATGGACGGCTGGTTCAAGCCCTTCCTCTCGCGCGGCCCACATCGTAGCGCACATATTGCATCTCGCTTCCTCTTGTGTCTGCTCGCGATTTCAGGGGAAACCATTGCTAATAACGTGGGATCTACAGGAGCAAACTTCACTAATGGCACACACCACCGGTGCCAACGCTCACATGCGCTCCTAAAGAATACTTCGGGTCTAGCTGATTGTAGACATTATCCATGGCGTCGAGAGCCCAGCGCCTCGTTCTCTCCGTGCTTCAGATGATGGCCCTTGTATAATATGGTAAACTCCTTCAATGAGTACGCGAGCTCTACTGAAAACGTCAATGGATGCAGGAAGAATTTGAGCGCAAAGAGGCATTCTCCGAAAGCAATGGTGAAGGGATGCGGTCGTTTGCAGCTCGGGCATGCACCTGCGTGCGCTCCTGCTTCTAGTTAAATGCCAGTGTTCCAGGGCGGTGCACGCGCGTTGCTGATGATCGCTTTCGCAATCTGGCTGTTGGCCCATCGGAGCTTCCATGGCCAGCCTGACGAGCCACTCAGGCTATCTGAAAATCTTTCACAAGAAATATGCATTATGGCTGGCCACGATGTGTTCAAAATGATCCTAGCGGAATCATGGGCTCGCTCCGCCCTGTGGACAGGCCCGACACAGACGACAGCCGACGACTACCAAGCGCCGTGCCAGAAGCAGACAGATAACGACGCAGACATCGTGCGCAAGCGCACAGAAGATACGACTGTAAAAAAAACATGTAGATATTGAGCAGAGATGTTGCTACATACAGATGACAAATGCGTGCATGCTTGAATACTATAATGCTAGAAGGTACATGATATGGTGCTGTGTGCATGTAGGGGACCATGCGGCTCGCCTGGTGTCCATTGATCAATTCTGCGGATCTTCGACCCAACTCTTGACCGCAAAGACCGTGCTGTGGCCTTTCGCATATACCTGCGCCAGCTCGTCGAAATGCTCGCGTTCAAATGCTTCACGCGCATTCTTAAACTCCCTACCCTTCAGGCCTTCGAAAGTCACCCCATGCATCTTCGCGAACCGCTCCAACGTCATCGGCCGCGAGTCTTCCGTAGTACGCGACGATGACGGCCACGGCACGCCGTCCGTCCTTGCTCCACGGTCGTCGAGCCCAAATACCTCCATCGAGCCCTCTACGCCAGCCTGTTTTGCGTCCTCCTTGAAACGCTCCTTCACGTCCTCCGCATGCTCGTACCACTCGCCCACACCCACCTGAATCGTGCGGAACTCTTCCGGAATAGGCTCCTCCAGCTGTTCGCCGTTGATCCCGCGTCCGCGTTGTTGCGTGTTCCAGCGGAACCCAAGGAAACCACCACGCTCGCCCGCGAGCAGGCGCGCAATGTCGAGCGTGAGCCCCTCCATACGGTTCAAACGCAGATTGCGCATGCGCGACGGGAACGACGGAAGAGCTAATCGCTCCTCGGGCTCAATCGTCGCGTAGAATGGTGTCCCACGAGGCATTCCCCGCGAGAGCCGCACCAATGTCGTCGCAAGCGGCCGAGTACCAAGCGTCACCGTGAGCAGCGGTCGCCAGAAAGGCGTCTCTGCAAGCGTGGGCAAGTATCGTCCACGAAGTGTTTTCGTGAGCTCGTCGAGACTGCCTTCTACGACCTCAGCATTCACGTCTTCTTCTTCGTCTTCATATTCGTCATCTTCCTCAAGATCGTTCTCCCTCATTTCTCTCGCGTGATTATGAGATCGCACCTTGGGCGAAACTGCAGCCTCAGAGGCAGACACAGGCGCTTCCTCGAGAGCAGACGACATGAAGCCAAGCTCCGCGTCCTGCACCTCCGTCGCACGGACGATCGCACTTGTGTGCAGGCCTCGTGTAGCAGAACCGCTCCCGCTTCCTCCGCTGATTCCGGCACCGTTATCGTTCCCATTCTCACCTTTCGCCACCGCACCGCCCGCTTCCGTCCACGGCACCTTCACAGTCGAGACGATCGGGTGGTCCTCCGTCGGCACCTTGGCCGACGCCGGATGGAAGTGAGTCTCCGGAGTCGGTGGCTTAAACCCGCTCGGATGCCTTACCGTCCCATCTCGGGGGTCGCGCACCTCCACCGGAATCTTCTCCGCGCGCTCCTTAGTCTCCGCCGCGAGCCCCTCACCGTGGATGCCCGCATCCAGCTCCGCCATCAGCCCGCCCTCCTCCTGCTTGCGCTCGATGTAAAATTGGGACACCAAGTCCTCCGGGTGCGGCTCTGGTCTGCGCCGTCGAGTCGGAATACTCCGCTGTATTTCCGCGGAGGATGCGTGAAGGTCAGCACCCGAGGACGAGAGTGCGTCGAATGTGCCTGCCGGTCCCTGCTCTGTGCGCACCTTGCTCATCAGGACCGCGGCGGGGCCGTCCACATCCACGGCTGTCTTCTTCCGAGCGAGCTCGCTTTCTACGTTCGCATCGTGATCAAGTGCTTCTGCATTGGGCGGCCGTTCGTCCCAGAGTTGCTTAACGGTTGCGAGGATGGGATGATTCTCCGTAGCTACCTTCGCCGCCGCCGGATGGAAGTGCGTCTCGGGCGTTGGCGGCTCGAACCCGCTCGGATGGCGCACGCTGCCCTCCTTGGGGTCACGAACCTCGACGGGGATTTTCTCCGGGCGGGCGCGCGTCTTCGCAGCGACATTGTCGCTGAGGATGCCCGCGCTGAGTTCCGCCATCAGCCCGCCCTCTTCCTCCTTGCGTTCCGAGATCGCTTCGCGCTGCTTCTTGCGCTCGACGTAGTAGGTCGGCACCGTCGACTCATCCGAGTCCTGCGACGGCTTTGGCGGACGCGACCACGACGAACCGGGGATCGTCGTCCGCGACTCGAACGAGCCGGGCTCATCGGCGGCAGCCCGGAGGGAGAAGTGGAACATGCGCCGTTGAGACATCTGGCCATCGCTGCCCTCTGGATGGAGAAGCTCGGTCGCGACAAGCTCGTGAGACCCAGGTTGTCGGCCCTGGCCTTGTCGCTTGAAGAAGCGCTGTGCATCAGGATGGCGCAGTCCATTTCGCTGGTAGCGCGAGGATGTCGCTTCCTGCGCCTGTCGCTCCTCCTCCTCCTCCTCCATCGGCCTCTCACGCTCCCTTTTCTCCTCCCATTCGACCATCGCCTGCACAGCCGCCTCGTCCTCCTTCTCGAGGCGTGCAAGTGTCTCCTGGAGGGTCTCGCCCTTCTCCAACCATACCTGACGTTTGATTGCCTTTGGATGAACCCATGGCCAGATAGCATTGTCCATCGCGAGGCGCGCCTCGCTCGGGCTGTTTAGTGAGTTCATCTTGCGAAGGACGGCGGGAAAGTCGCCGGTGCGGCAGACGCCGACAAAGTGCTCGATCGCGTCCTTGCGACCGAGCTCGTGGCGAACGGGATAGCGAGTCTCGAGCAGGAAGACGGTGTGCGAGGTGTACGCCTCTGGCGGAGGCGGCTCGTATTTCTTGCGTTTGGCGAGGTAGGCTCCGCCGGGGAACCAGTTCGAGATGCGAAGGTCTCGCGGACGGGTGAAACCTCCCATGTACCTGTATCACGTAAGAGTAGCTCTACTAGCGACTGCAAGCATGCTCACTCTTTCACCGGGGTCATGGACATGGTGATATCCATACGCTCATCTCGCTCTGCCTTTTTTATACGGCGTGCCTTCTCGCGAATCTCATGGTCGGCAGTTTTGGCCTGCTTTGGCTTGATCTCGCCTGTCTCCGCCGTGGACGAGGAAAGGCGGCGACACTGCCTCACTTTTGCGGCGGCGGCAAGTCGCTTTGTGAGCTTGGACCGTGGCAACATTGCGAGCGAATATTGAGCAGAAGTGGAAAAGACGGGTGGCCTATATTGAGCCGGGAGTGTTGTGCCCTATTTGGCCGACCTGCGCTTCGTCCGGCGTCTACCGAGCACTCGGACCGCGCCCGGGCTGCCTCTCTTGGTCGCCGACGCGAGCGCTGTGCGCCCTGTGGCCCAATGGAGCAGGCGCATATATGCACGATGGCCGCGATAGTTGCGAGTCGTCTCACCCACCTCTTCTGCCGTCGGCCACGCTTATCGCCATTGCCACGCTCGCGCGTCCTAATCCCCCACCCTCGATGTCATGTGTGAACCACAGTTTCCCGGCGGCGAGGGCACCACATAGTGCGCTGATGCTGCTCAATAATGCAATGTTGTGAGAACGAGAACGGCTCACCGGAGTGTATTTGCAGCCTTATCAAAGTGTACGTCCTGATATCCACAACAGTGTGATCAGCACGAACGACCGCAGCATCAAGCTTCAAGGTCTGAGGGTATGTGTCGGAAAAAGTCTTTACCAGACTCGCATTCACCGCGACGACTTGTGAGTGCAGATCGAATGCGCCATTTTGATGTGCTCAGCGAGAACACCGTTCATGGACATGCTACATAGACTCATCAGACCCGCAGGCGATGTGCCAAATGAATGCCTTGACGCCGAAACTACGAACAGGTCACGCATACAGTCACTCAAATTAAATGCACACACAGACACATTCCCTTGCTCTGAGAGTGAGTCCGTCATTTCATGTCTTTTGCTCCAGCGACAGAGCAGATTACTAAGTGACACCAGCGGTATTTTCAAGCAGAACATTTCGTGTCCTTCGCTGTCACCTCCAGGCAGAATGCGAGTCCGAGAAGGTGCGAGCAAGTGGCAGCGTTGTCGCTGTGGCAATAATCAAGGCTGAACGAGCGCTGAACGTTGAACTGGAAATCAGCCAAGTTCTTGTTCTACTGATATCCGAACTTCTCTTCGTCTCGTTGACGCGAGCCTCATCGCATTCCGACTCGGAGATGACGATGCCGCCAAGCATGCTCTGTCGAGCCAATGACACACAGTCCACACCATCCTTCCAATTGTGCAGGAGGAAACTCCGATGGTTCGTATTCCGATTGTATGCCAAAGAAATACACAACGGACACGAGAACAGGTACTCAGACCAGCGCCGTTCAGGACTTAGCGGAGGGAACGCCTCACGCAATCCCCATGAACTCGAGATACTGCTGTTCGAACAAGGGGACGGTGTGGCCGACGCCCTGCGCGAGGATTGCCTGGAACATAGGTCCATAAGTCGAGTTGGAGTATCCGCTCGGGAGGTACGACTCGGAGACGTTCGAGATCGGCGTGGTCGGGTACCCAAAGACGGTCGTCCACTGCTTGATGGACTCGTAGAAGTTCTGCGGGTAGACGGTCGTGTCGCTGGTGGACGCCGATGAGCAATCACTGGCCTGAGAGCGGGGAGGCACTAGGTTACGGTACGCACGCGGTTCCATGCCAGACCTGCATCTTCGGCCGCGCACCCGTGTAGCCGGGGTACGCGTTGTATACGCGCTGCGCCCATTCCTCACCGGTGAGAATCAGCTCGCCCTCGGCGCACTGCGCGTTCCAGCTGTCCTCGGGCTCGTCGGGGAGCCAGAAGCACGCGTCCGCGACGCCAGAGTCAACGACGCCCGCGCTGAAGATGTCCGGGTATGCACCCGCGAGCACGCTCGTCATCATCGCGCCCGAGGACGTGCCGACGGCGAAGACGCGGCTCGCGTCGACGCCCCAGTACTCGATGGCGAACAGCGCGGCGGAGGCGATCCCGAGCGAGTCGCTCCCGCCGTTGTGGGCGAGCGTCTCGTTGGAGGAGACGTCCCAGCAGGTGCCGGAGTGGGGCTATATACGTGTGATGGGTGAGAAGTGTATGTGGGCATCTAGAGTACGATGCTCACGGAAGATGGGTAGAGGACGAGGTAGCCGTACGTCTCAGAGAGCTCGGCGAACTTAGAACCAGAGTAGTATGCCTCCGCCGTGCCCGTGCAGTCTGTCAAGTCGTCAAGGCCAAGTCCCAACTGAGCAGCAGGCACCCACAGTGCATGGCGACGAGCAAAGGCGGGTTCGCTGCGACTTGGGCAGGCTTGTAGACGTACATGGCCACATTGTTGGGGTTCGTACCAAAGTCGGTGATCTGGTAGAGCGTCGACGCGGGGATGTCACTGAGGTTGGTCTGGCCGGCAACAAGTAGGGCGAAGGGCAGCAGAGCCACGAAGCTCAGGGTTGCCTTGAGCGAAAGCATCGTGAAGGCGAGAACCTGGGCAGTAGAGAGGCTCGACGACCCACTTCTGGTAGCAAGCAATGGGTTGTTATACTTCTGTCCATGCGGCACGCACCCACGCGAGCAGTTGTCAACGGTGACCAAGGACGAGCATGCGGTCGTCACTGCTTCGTGTTCCGCTGTATGAGGACGGAAGGGGATTTGGCCGTGAAAAGCCCGCTGTGTGAGCCAAGCCAGTGTGTGTTCGCCATGAATAACGAGGCCGACAATGCTTACCTTGGAGGCCGACGCTTCCAGTATAGTTCTGCGGCCACTGTGTGACATGCGTCCTGCGACGACACACTCTGTTCGCAGACAGGCCTGAATCGTTCGGAGAATTGTCGTATGGCTTTAACGGCATAGATGCCAGAGAGCCGTGATGGGTCGACGGTTTGTCCGAGGCTTACCCGACTCACAGCGGCGGATGGAATACGGACAATTTGCGACATCCGAGCAATTCACTGCTGAGCCGTTCTGAAGACATCCTGGAAGCCGCGACGGCACGCATGACCTGCAAACATGGATGCAGAACACAGTCGAAAGCGACGTCACAGACACTGGCCGCGAAAGAGGATCGAAGGGATGCCGAGATCAATGACTATGCACCAGGCTGCAGGAAGGAATGAGCATATGGAAGTTCCGCCCATCGTGTCCGCGACCATACCATATCTGCATGTACTTGCCGCTGCTGCAATACACTCGACCACTGCCGATTTCACTTTAGCAGCTCACCAAGGAGTATATAACAACTACGTACTCGTGTAAACCGCAAGTCTTTGTGAATGCGTGGTTTCCGCCAGTTCAAGTCAGTAACGAGCAGCACCGCTTATGCTAACTAATTGAAGGACCAGATGATGATGAACACAAAACTTTATGCCGTACGGTGCTAAGACCTGGTAAGACGCGCGGCGGAATGCGGCGCCCCTACCGTGTCTTTGTAATTGCTCGATGCTACTAGTGTATGTCATCGTCTCATGATCCGATTTTGTGTGTTGTCATGACTGGAGTAATTCAAGCTGAATTGTTCCTAGCAAGTTCAAGATAATCCGACGTGGTCTCTGTTTATGCATAAGAACTTGCTATGAGGCTTATTCGGCCTAGCTTGAACGCCGCCATGATTGCATACATGCGTCGACTTTGACACCTGGATTTCACGAGAGGTGAGTTGTGCACACCATGACTACGTATCTGCCGCATCTACACCATCCAGCTGATGGTTAATCCGTCATCGTGAAGGTTCAGCACGCGTCTTGGATCGCCGGAGAGCTCAAGAATGCAGAGGATATGAACCATTGCAGCATATAGCAGAAATGATGGCAGGGACGGAGAAGTTATGAGAGACGTTCTTACGCGATTTGACTCTCAGACACGGCACGAGCTAAGGCTCCAACATTTCTATCTATATACTATGTTAAATAGTTTTAACTGTTTACTATATCTGTTTATTTACAGGTTGGGCTGTATATAGTAAATAGATGTTTATATATAGTATAAATAGTTTTATGATGACATGAGGCTATTGAGTGCACGATTGATAGATTTGACAGTGCAACAGTGAGCCAGTTGAAAGTCATTGTGTTTGATAGAAGCCACCACTGACAGTTGATCATCATATAGACTCATGAACATGAGTTTCTTGTTATTTTTTGTATGACATGAGATTTTCTTGTCATTCGTGGTGCAAGTGTTGAAGTTGAATGCTTGTTTTCTGCTCACTATCATGTGTGTGTTGATGCACCCAGCTCCTTAAGGGTCCCAACAATCACAGAGGCTGCTCACAGTTGAGTAGAAGTCCACTAAGAGATGGGACAAAAAAACTATATAAACTTTATATAAACTGTTTATACTACATATATACCAACTGTTTACTATATACTATTTATTTACACCTCAGGAGTGTAAATAGTATAAATAGTTGGAGCCTTAGCACGAGCCCGCCAGCCATAAATGGTCAGTTCATTACAACATGTCGATGACGCTAACATTTTATGCCATGTCGTCAGATTTCGTCTTCTTTGAACGTCCATGTCTTATAAAGATCCATTCAAGCCACACCTGCCACAGTGCGACACGATGTTCAGGAGCGCCTACGCATCCCATCACATAATTGTGTCACACATGTCATGACACATTCGAATTTCGCAGCTCAATGATGCAGACTTCACGGCAGACATGATGCGATTTATCAATGTGAGAAATTGTGTGTGAATGTCGACTGATTTCTTACACATGCGACAAATATTTGCAACCATGGCATTTCATGTTGAAAATGTTTCACTTTGGCTGTGAATGTGCACTATTTGCTGTTTAAATGCTAAATTGGCAAAGCTTTGCCACAAATGTAAGACATCAGCTGACATTCCCACATGATTTTCCACATTTATAAATCGCGTCATGTCTGCCGTGCTTGGAGCTGGCCGGTATCGAATATTGCAGGGTGGTCAGGAGAGCGAACACGCAGGAAAACAGGCGTCAGAGTGATGGGAGGGTAATGCGGGAGAGACCGTGAAGGAGTTAAGGATATGCTCAGTTAAAGAAATCGTGAAGCTCGAGAGGCTGGGGTCTAGTCAAAAAGCGGATATTCATGGCGCTGATGCTCCCTGCCGATGTGCCGTTCAGACACAGATCAAAGAGCTCACCTTAAAACAGAGCCAGATGCATCTCGATAGCGACGATGGAGAATGTCATTATGCGTTCTAGCACCGTTGATGGTATCCGAGCCTGTTTACACTGCGTGGAGTGTTGTAGCTGGGCATTGCTCTCTAGCCATGCAAGACTCTCTGCACTTGTCACCAGTGATAGGCTGTTGATGATCGTCAGACATTGTGGACTTAACAACATTGAAGCCGCGCGTTCAAGTGCACATCATGATGATTCGGTGACGCCGCAAGCTGGGAGCGTGACAGAAGCTAACGCGTTGGATGTTGGTCACGAGACAATTGACGCATTAGCGCTGAGCACGACCACATTTGGCTCATCCGCCACAATCGTCCTTCTATCTCTGCGGGCATTCTTCTCCTCCTCTCTTCCCTGTCTTCGCCAACGTTTGTCATGTCCAAAAATCCGTACACGAACGCTCCTCCGCTGAAGGGCCCCGCCTCGGCGAAATCGCTTGCTGACAAGGAACCGTTATTCGGCTTCTTGCCTAGGAAGGTCACCTCGCAACAGGTGCAAAAAGCAATGGTATGCGATTTCAAGCTGAATTGGCTGTTCTCAAGACACTCACAAGCAAGGAATTGACACAGAAAGGTGACCACAACCCATTCACGAAGCAGCCTCATACGCCTCAATACAAGAAGATATTGGAGGTCCGGAAAAAGCTGCCTGTCTATGCGCAAATGAACGAATTCTTGAAGATGGTAAGCCCCGCACTTTCACGTTGTCTTCATGAGGGAAGGTCAGAGTCTGCTTCAGGCACAGATCACCCTCGGCTGGCGGGAGAACGTAACTGATGTCCGAGAAAGTTCAGCGATAATCAGGTTATCGTGATGGTTGGGGAGACGGGGTCGGGGAAGACTACTCAGTAAGAGAATTTCTGTCGGAGAAATATCTGACCATGAGAGCAGAATTTTACTTGGATACCAGGATACCGCAGTTCGTCTGCTTTTCGGATCTCCCTCACACGAAGGGCAAGATGGTGGCATGCACACAGCCTCGTCGTGTAGCAGCGATGTCGGTGGCGAAACGCGTTGCGGATGAGATGGACGGTGTGTGGCTTCTAACATACCGTGCAGTATAGGTGTCTGACATTCCTCTATAGTTCCACTTGGCAAGCAGGTCGGCTACTCGATACGTTTTGAAGACATGACCGAGCCAGGTACGACGTTCCTAAAGTACATGACGGACGGCATGCTCCTACGTGAAGCCATGAACGATCCCAATCTGGAGCGATACTCGACGATCATCCTGGACGAAGCGCACGAACGCACACTAGCGACGGACATCCTGATGGGTCTGCTCAAGTCCCTTGCGAAGCGCCGTACCGACCTCAAGATCATCGTCATGTCTGCAACTCTTGATGCCCTCAAGTTCCAAAAGTACTTCTCACTATCACAATCCGGGGAGCCAGCTCCATTGCTCAAGGTCCCTGGACGTAGTCACCCGGTGGAAGTATTCTATACACAGGAGCCAGAGCCAGACTACGTGGAGGCGGCGATCAGGACCGTGCTGATGATTCATCGGGCTGAGAAGCCTGGCGACATTCTGCTGTTCCTCACTGGGGAGGAGGAGATTGAGGATGCTTGCAGGAAAATCAAGTTGGAAGCAGACGATTCGATGAACAAAGACCCTGGCAGCGTCGGTCCGCTGGTGTGCATCCCTCTGTATTCGTCTCTCCCGCCGCAGCAGCAGCAGCGCATTTTCGACCCACCGCCGCCACCTCGGACGCCGGACGGACCCCCTGGCCGCAAGGTTGTCATATCAAACAACATCGCGGAGACATCGCTCACGATCGATGGCATTGTCTACGTAGTGGACCCGGGCTTTTCGAAGCAAAAGGTGTACAATTCCCGTATAAGGGTCGAGTCCTTACTTGTCAGCCCGATTTCGAAAGCATCTGCGCAGCAACGAGCTGGAAGGGCGGGGCGGACCAGGCCTGGGAAGTGCTTCCGGCTGTATACAGAGAAGGATTTCATGAAGGAGCTGGAAGAACAAACACATCCGGAGATATTGCGGAGCAACCTGGCCAATACGGTCTTAGAGCTGGTGAAGCTGGGTATACAGGTACGTTTCATTGCGATGACTGCATGACCTGGGCTCTGATTTGGCTGTCTTGTAGGACCTTGTGCGATTCGATTATGTTGATGCGCCGGCACCGGAGACATTGATGCGTGCCCTCGAGCTTCTCAACTATCTGGCCGTACTGGATGACGAAGGCAGACTGACGCCGCTTGGCGAAGTCATGGCCGAGTTCCCTCTTGACCCTCAGGCATGTCTAGTTGTGTTCGTGCGCTGTCTAAACGTCATTCATGAGTCTACTGCAGATGGCGAAGATGCTGATCGTCAGCCCCGAGTTCAACTGCAGCAATGAGATCCTCACAATCGTCGCGATGCTTTCAGGCGAGCTATCTGATCTTGGCAATGCTAGTCACATCGTTGATACTTTGTTCAGTGCCAAACGTCTGGCTACGTCCGCCTAATCAGCGGAGAGAAGCCGACGCGGCGAAGGCGCTGCTGACCGTCCCGGACGGCGACCACCTCACATTGCTGAACGTTTACAACAGCTACGTACAGAGTGAGTCCCTGTGGCGTTTGACAGCTCATCTGCATTCTAACTTAGGAACCCAGATGCGCATGACCGAAGTTGGGCGTGGAACAACTACCTCTCGCAACTCGCGCTTGCGCAGGCTGACAACGTGCGCTCGCAGTTGGAGCGGACGATGGAGCGATACGAGATTGCCCTCGTCTCGACCCAAGACCAGCGAAAGCTGTACATGAACGTGCGACAAGCCCTTGTGTGCGGCTTTTTCATGCAGGTTGC